ATTGTAGAATATAATGGACAAAATTGCCTATATATAACTATGACGTTTACTGATAATGACAATGCATCAACATTACATTTGAATATTTAACGGCATTTATCAATTTTCAATGATTTGATAATAACTCCCAATATTGAATCAAACGCATCTAGATAATTGATATTGATTAGAGAACCTTAATTGACACAAAATATTTAAAAACTAGAGAATTCTGCTTTTAACCCCGCTTAAATAACAATTAATGGTGATTAAAAACAAAAAAATTAAACTTGCATTTCCATTTTATAATTAATTTTCATTTTATTTCCCCGCATACGCGTTTGATAATTACATCCATACACAATTGATTGCCATGTCATTAAAATTCAATTAACTCTGATATAAAATAATTGCTAAAAAAAAAAGCAACGTCCAGATAATTTTTTATTTTCCGCTAAACTTTATACCGTTTTCATCCATAAAACACTTGAAACAATAATTGATATATCTTCCCTTCACTAACTTTTCTCAATGGACAGTAAAGTAGTTTTAACTATACAAGTTAACAAAGTGTTATCAGAAATTATTCTAACGTAGGGTTGCAACCCCATTTTACAATTTTTTTTTTAAACTTTTGATAAGTTATTTAATCGTGACATACATAGAGGTAAACTTCAATCACTTGAATTATAATTGCGATGTATAATTGAATTTTTTTAAATGTCAGAAGTTATTATTGAAGTTTTTTTTTATCTAATTAGAGTTATTTTGAATTTTTAAACCAAAAATATACTATTATTGGTATAAAAGTTTTGAAAAACCTTAATGAAGATAAAAAAATAGTATTAAAAATTTAAAATTGATGCAAAATTGAATTTTATTGAAGTTTTTTTATCTAATTCGAATTATTTAAAATTTTTAAATTAAAAATATACTATATCGACGTTCTAATTAGCAAATTGTCTAATTTCATTTTAGAAAATCTTCTATTTGTACAAAAAAAACAATTCAAAATTTATTATTACTCAAAAAAACCATTTAATATCATTATTACCTACTAGAGATACAATATTTAACTTTGAATCATTCTAATAATTTATAATTCGATTATGGCTGCATCAAAATGTTAAAAAAAAAAAAGGAGTTAAACAAATTGCTAATTAGACCATCGATATTTGGTATAAAAGTTTCAAAAAACCTTAATGAAGACAAAACAATAGTATTAAAAAGTAAAAATCGATGCGAGGATTTTCCAGAAGTGAAAATAAGTTGATTAAAGTCAACAAGGATTATATTAAATAAATGTCTAGCATGGTAAGGCACAAAATTGTTGATAAATATATATATATTTTTTAAATGTATGTGTGTGCGATAACTATACAGCATGGGTGCGCTCACGTGTAGTGTGTATGCGCAGTAGATATGCCGGTTACTCCAACTATATTCTGTACCCATACAAGTAAATCTTTATATACCAAGCTAGACATATGTATATAGGTGGTCATTGCCGGGGAGGTTATATTATATACTATACATACAAATGTATTTTTTATTGTAGTATTTAATATATATAGTATATATAATATATAATATGTTGAGGCTTGTATGCACATACTGTAGAAAATTAAAAAAGTATGTACACCACTACCAAGCGGACAGTGATGTAACGAAAAGCGTAAATAACCGAAGACTTACGGAGTTACCCGAATATATTTCATTTCTCATTTAGAACTCGTGTATCGCGCCGGCGTTACGTTACTCGTAAATGTTTCAAATAGCTAAGACGCCATTTGCAATTTTATGGAAAGCGTTATTAATTAATAATTATTGCTGTAATTTAACAATTAATTCAAGATATCACTCTAGACTATCAATATGTTATCATCAATATATATTTGATAAAATTAAATGTCAAGCTTAATAATTCGCAATAATATTTGGCCTCGAAAAATATAATGACCTTCAGCCCCTGACCTTATTTGCCGCGTGGGAGAAAGCGCGTATTATTATTATGATTTTCCTACTAAGACGCTCTTAAATATATATATATATATATATATTGTAGCTTTTATGCAATATAGATAAGTATATTTGCGGAATAGTATTTATAATTGCTAATATTTTCCTAGATAGTGAAGTACGGGCAGATCGTTAATAGCTCACCAGTAGAGCGCGCTGCAAGCGCTTAATTGAAGTCGAGAACATCCGGCCAGCGGCCATCTTGTTATTAAGTTTTCCCCTCTTTTTTCGTGGCGCCCCTCTCTTCCCTTTTCGGACGGAGTAAATATGTACTGAAATTGTACATAGAGTTAGAGTGGTATATATAAATATATATAGATATATAAATGTATATGTATAAATTTCTGCCGGTACCCCGCATCGCGCCCGCGCAGCGTGCCCTCAAACGAAAACTACGCCGTAACTTGGCATAGCAACAGCGTTAATAATGAAGCTTTCTATAAATAGATGGCTCAGAGCGCGACGTTGCCAGAATTACTGGCCCCAAGTCTCCCCGGGAAACTCTAAAGTCCAAGGACTCGATAACGCTATCAAATCTGGCAACATCGCATTTAATGCGTCTTAACATATGCTATATATTTTTATTATTTTTTTTAACTACCAAGACGAATTTTAACAATTGGATTTTTAATTTATAACAATTTTATTATCAAAGTTTAATTATGATTAAACTATTTATATAATTAGTTATAAAATTAATGATTTTAAGGTTAAGTTAAAACTATTAATTACTATACATATTATTATTATTATTATTATTATTATATATCTTTTATATATTACTATTAATGGTTTTTTTTTTTTTTTTTTTCAGCGTAGGTGTTTTACGTATTTATAATTGTGTGCGTTAGTAAGCAACGTTGCGAAACGAGAGTAGGCGTGCCCCGACTTGTACGCGATCTGGCAACGTTGCCACCGTAAATCATGATTAAAATAATAAGTGTAATATATGTGTACACTTATATATAGATATAGATGGGATGTTGTGAGAGTAGTACATACCGTAGCGGTGAGATTCAGTACATAAGATTGTATATAGGCCCGTGGTATGATGGGGGCTGCGCAGAGCCCTCGTTTAACTACCCAGTGGCTGGGCTCTGCGCATCTTTAATTCCCCCACTATGCTCGGTACATAATATGTACATAGCCCCCTCTTCTGTGTTTAATCCAGCGGCTTTCCAGGCACTGCGACGCGGAGTAAAGGGGGGAATCACCTGAAACTATCCTATATACCTTCCATGCGTTTGCCAATCTTGGCACTTTGCCTGAAAGAGCATATCGACCGTACAACGTTGTCATATCACTCCGGATCTTGTGCCTGGTCCTAAACACTTTTTCAATCCTATGGACTCATTCCTGAGTCCGTGTCATATGATGTTACATTTTTACCCTCCCTTGTTATTATTTTTATTATATTCTTACATATATCTCCATAAATATGTATTTCAATGGAGAGAATTTTTTTTTATATTTTCATAAAGAAAGTTTGCAAATTACTCTACTATACTTAACTTTTTTATGCTACAATAGTTTTTTTACTGTCATTATCAATATTATTATTATTATTATTATTATTATTATTATTATTATTATTATTGTTGTTACTTTTCTAGAAAAATCTGATGAATTTATATATTACGTCGAGAACGTTTATTGGATTTTCTCTATGAAGATTAGGTAATAAAATTTTAGTTTATTTTATTGACTTTAATTTAATTAAATCATACTTTTTATTAGATATTCAATAATTGAATTTTTTTACAAAATTAATTTTCATTCTGTTAAAAAAAAAAAATTAAGAAAAGAAAGATTTAAAAATCAGAATTGTAAAATTCTTTTTAGGAAGAAAATTTTTAAGAATTTTTTTAACAAATCAATTACAATAAAAAAAATGCATTTAAAAATTTTCACTTGTAATTTTTATTAATTTTCACATGTGGAACTTTTTAATTATATTTTTTTTTTTTATAATTATTTAATGTTAATGAAAATGAAGTTAGCCGACATTTAAAAATTTTTATAATTTATTTTTTATTGAAAAAATGATTAAAAAAAAATTTTCACTTATAAAACACTTTAAAAACTGTAAGTGCAATTTTTAAAAAATATTTTATTTTTCTAATTTAATTATTAAAAAAGTAAAATCGTCGGCTAACTTTATTATTATTAAAGTTAGGCCGACATTTTTAATTTTTTGATTATTTTTCATTTATTAAATTAAAATTAAAAAATTTCACTTGTAGTTTTTCAAGTTTTTTTTACAAATAAAAATTTTTTTGTACTACAATTAACAATTTTTTTAATAAAAAATTAAAATTTTTAGATGTCGGCTAACTTAATTTTCATACTTTAGCGTCATTAATATTTATATTTAAATAATTTTTTAAAAACACAAATTGTGAATTAAAATTTCACAATATAGTTATAGTACTCCTATTTTAAGGGGTAAAATCATCCAACCAATAGCCTACATTTTGGTAGTTCTCAGTAACAACGTCGTCGGCATTTTCTGCGCGCGTCAAATCCTGAAATTATATCAAGTGTTAAGAATATAACAGTTGGTATTAGATTATTAAATTAAGTATAATATAAACAATCGTGAAATTAACAATAATAATCATACATTTCACAATAATAACAGTAATTGTCTCACCGAGTTTCTAAAGTTGTCAATTCTAGATTATTCGTGCTCCATAGACATTAGGTTAGGTTACGAGGCGTTTGTTTCTTCCATATTTAAATAACGCTTTTAAAAACAATTATTAATTAATAATATAATATATGGTTGTTATTAATTTTACTGTAAATAATATGAAAAGTTTGTTGTTTTACATTTAATGTAATTAGAGTTTGTTATTTTGCTTTACTGTTCGGTATGTTTATTTATAAGTGAATATATATATATATATATATATATTTACTTTTATTTAATTAATTATTTTAATATTTGTGATTTAACGGATAAATCTAAATGTGAATTTTAGCAAAGATATTTACAAATAATGCCACGAAAAAGAACTAATTTAAGTTCATCAAAAGCTCGTGCGCGGAGAAAAAAAATTTACATGCTTCGTAAAAAACAAGAAGAATTAAAGGAAGAGTTTAAAAATCTCGCTGGCAATGATGATAATATAAACGAATTGGATGATAAATTAACGGATCTAGATAATTTGATTGACAGAAATGTTAACGATGAAGATGATGATGGTGATGATGATGATAATGATGAAGACGATAATGACAGTAATATTGATGGAACTTGTGCTATCAACAATAACAATAACAAACAATTAGATACTGAAGATATTGAAATAGTTAGTGTCGTAGAATCAATTCAAGAATCATCTCAGAGCAAACCAGCAAGAGGTAATCGATAATTTCTCTACCGTTAAGGATAAAAGTCCTTTTTTGTTATCATCAATTTATATTTATTTCCTTTATTGTTTTGCTCTGATTAACAATTGGTTTTGTTTTTTTCTTCTTTTGGAAGCTGATAGTGTTTTAAATTTTTGAATATTAATTTTAATCAACTGTAAATCATTGTTGACATTGTTGTAGAGAGATTCCGTTTTTGTTCGATAGAGTTGTTGGTTTTTTAATAGATTTAAATGATTCGAAAGTCATTAAGGTCATTGACTCAATTATTGAGAACTAGATCATTTGTATAAACGAATTACATTTTTCATTTACTTTAAAGACTTGTTTTTTTTTTTTTTAATTATTTCAATAGGGAAAATGTTTCTTAAATGGCTTGTTTATTTTTAATAAGGGTTATTCTGTTTTATTGTGAATGATTTAAGTTAAGTGTTACATATTTCTAGCTGTATTAATTTTTGTAACTTCCTGAAATTATGTGTCGGACTTTCAAGTTCAAAGTTGCACTGAGTAATGCTAAACTCTTGAAGATAAAATTTGTAGATGCGTCTGGTTTAAGCTTTTGTAGATTTAAATTTTTGATTACTTACAGCAATTTTAATAATAATTCTCCTAAATTTTTCACCATAATTTTTTTTATATCTCATCTTTTCAAGTATTGTACCTGTCGAGTAAAGATTTAAAAAGATAATAATAATTGGATAGACAAAGAGAAGTCCTTAATCTGGCTTTGAAAAACCAGGATGCTTTCATTAAATTTAAATACTGTTGAAATATTTTTCTCGAATAAATATTAGTCTATGAGTTAAAGATAACATTCTGTTGCTTTTACCTGGAACTCTTTAATCTGTAAAAAATAATCTACGAAGAACCAACACCCTATTTTAAAAAGTCTCAATGAATTAAAATTTTTAGTAGTCCATTAAATAAATTTCACCTCATTGAAAAATGTCTGCTTACAAGTTTTATGAATTTCCATTTTCCGAAATGCAATATTAAGCAATTTCATTGATTGCAAGATTTTACCAGCCAGTACCTAAATTATATTATGAATTCGGTTCTGTAAACATTGGCATATAAATTAGTTATATCATATCGGAGTGACTAATTATGCAATTAAATATTGTACAATTTTCAAAGTACATTATACAGCTTTTGTTTCCATATAAGTACATTAAATATTACTTTGTTGCTTTACATGATCAATCACATGTTACATTTATGTAACAACTATCTATTCCTCATCAATTCTTACTCTTAATTAATTTTAATATCTCACCACATTCACCTCTCAATTTAATTACAGTTTGTCATAATTTTACAATCTTCTTCTCTAAAATTTAATACACTGTAAATTGCATTTCTTCCAAACTCGACGTTTCTATTTTTGAACCCATTAAAAACTCTTTAATAATTGATTATTTTTAAGTGACACTTTTCCGAATCCTTAAAAGTCATCATTATATCAATTATGTACATTTTTTATACAAATATCACTGTTATCTCAAACTTCCCGATTTCTTCATTAATTATTAATCTCAATCATTTGAGAATTAACTTTTTTCTCCAAAACTTTTATTCTATAATGAATTAAATTTAGCAAAAAAAAAAATTATTTCTTTTTTTAATAAGCCTCCAAGATTTACGTCAAGATTCTCGGACGAGTACGAAAGCGTGACTGGCATATTAGTAATTATAATCGTATATTTCTTTAAGCGCCAAATAATTAACAACAGCAACAATAATAATAATAATAATAATTGAAAAATGAAAATTTAATTAGCCGACATTTGAAAATTTTTATAATTTATTTTATTGAAAAATAATTGAAACAAAAATTTGCACATGTAGAAAATTTTAAAAATTATAAGTGGAATTTTTTAAAAATAGTTTTTTAGTTCTAATTTTTAATTAATAAAAAAAATAAAAAATTATTATGACACTGAAGTTAGCAGACGTCTATTAATTTTTGATTTTTTTTTTTTATTAATTAAATTACAACTAAAAAAATATTTCGAAAAAATTGCACTTATAGTTTTTAAAGTTTTTTACATGTGAAATTTTTTCACTAAAAAATTTGAAATGTCGGCTAACTTAATTTTCATAAAATTGTTAATGATACTATAGTTAGCCAAAATTTATAATGTTTTTTTTAGTAATTAAATTAGAACAGAGAAATTTTTTTAAAAATTGCACTCCAAGTTTTTGAAGTTTTTTACACGTGCAATTTTTTTTTTTTTTTTTTTTTTTTTTTTTTGTAATCATTTTTTCAATAAAAAATTTTGAAATGTCGGCTAACTTAATTTTCATAATTTAAAAACTTGACAGCTTAAAAAATGAATTAAAAATAAAAAATTTTTCAACTAATGTCAATTTAGTTGCAGATGGTGGCGCGGTGGTTTCTCGCGGGTTTGTCGGTGGTGATCCCCAAGTACCGTCAGTAGCGTCAGCAAGCGGCCAGACATTCAGTCACGGTCGGTACCGCGAGAAAATCCGATTGATACGTTCAAACTGCGAGTATGTGTAATATAATGTGCACAATAATTAGTTTAGTGCAGTACATATATATACACACATATGATAGTAATCCAACGAGTGTAGCTTAAAACTCAAGTGAAGTAATTTAACTTAAATCATGGATCGGAGCAGCAGCAGCAGCAGCAGCAGCAGCAGCAGCAGCAGCAGCTGAGGTGGAGCTGGCGACGAGTCGTCGACTCCACTCGCTCAGCGCCTCTACTGTTAAACTATCTTCCATTTTTTAATTTATCCGTAGTATCTAAAATGTGGATAAATCTTTAATTCGAAAATGTGAACCCAACCGGGCTCGAATCCTCGGGGATTCTGCACAGGCCGATCCGAGTTAGGAATCGTGCGCTGTCAATCCTTAATAATTGTAAATTATAAATTGAAAAAATCTGTGCTCCAATAAGTTAAAAAAAACAAAAAGTGTCAACTTTTTCAGAGCAAGGATTAATATTGTGCCGAAAATAAAAATATTAATTTAGTAAAAAAAAATATTATTTTTACAATAAAAATAAGACTGATTTTTGGAGTCTTGCTGGAGGTGTGTTTACCACGAGACTGTCGGTGCTGTACGATGTCTATGCACGAGTGGACGGGTGCGTAAACGTCAGTGCATTATCATGTGATAATGTGTACGTAATAATATGATTTAAGTGTTAAGATTATTCTCACATGTTTTTAGTTTGCAAATAATGAAAATAAAGTTAGCCAAAATTTATAGAATTTTTTTATGGAAAAAATTTCAATTAAACAATTGAAAAAAAAAATTACACATGTAAAAAACTTCAAGAACTATAAGTGCAATTTTTTAAAAATATTTTTTTAGTTGTAATTTAATTAATTAAAATTTTTAGACATCTGCTAACTTCAGTGTCAATGCAAATACATCAATATCATGTGAAATTTTCAATTTATTATAATTATAATGATAATCTAGTTAGCTAGTTAGTTAGTTATCATTATTGAGTAAATCTGATCTAAAGAGGATTTTACTCTAAAATTTTCTCTAGAACTTGTCGAATTTTACTGGAACATTCTACAGAATGAGTAAAAATAGTTGATAAATCATAACTTAAATCTACGGCCGCCATTTTTTTTACCAATATTGCTTGGCTTGTCGATAGATTATTGATTTGTCTGGACGTTTCATACTAGGTGCTCCAATTGAAATGTATTTTTTATTATAAAAAGCACACCCTAACATTACCAACATGTGCGAAATATTTAATTACGTTGAACACATGTCCACTAGTGATGTTAAATTGAAGGTTAAAGGTTCATGATAATTTGTGTTTTTTGTTTATTGATTTATATTATTGTTTTTTTTTAGATAAAATATTTCATTAAATATTAAATATTTAATATTTAATAAAGAGTAGGAGGTCAGTTGATCGGATGGATTGTGATTTATTTATTTACATGAAACGTGATCCAGTATACGTTAGTACGGTGTAAATTTTTCATAATAAGTTTACTTGCTCTAAGAATGATCAGTAGCCTTCGATTAGGGTCCTTGGCCTCTTAGGCAACAATCTGACGTCACGGTCATCAAGTGTAAAGGATTTTTTTTAAATTTTCTAGTACCTGCTTTGTTAACTGTTTATCTTTCAATAGGATTAATTTTTTGTAATAATAGTAAAAAATATTGTGTTAAATATGGTCTACACAAAATTAGTATTAAAATTCAACACACTCTTTATTATTTTAACACAAAGTTTGTGTTATTTTAAATGAAAATAAAGTTAGCCGACATTACAAACTTTTCATTGAAAAAATTTTAATAAATAAATTTCACCTGTAAAAAACTTAAAAAACTATAAGTGCAATTTTTTAGAAATATCTTTTTAATTGTAATTTAATTAAAAAAAATTTTTAGACGTCTGCTAACTTCAGTGTCATTATTTTAACACAGAGTTTGTTGAATTTTATTAACACTAATTTTGTGTGGACGGTATTTAACACAGAAATAGTGTTGATTTTACACAATATTTTAATTTAATAATTTTAATATAGAGATTTTTTGTGTTTTTACCCTGTTGGAATTAAATTTTTTGTTAGATTTATGAAATAACTAAATGTGGAATTAATTAGTAATTTAGAAAGGTAATCAAGGAGAGAATTTTTGTTGGTAGTAAAAAATAATGGCTTTAGTTTTTGTTTGGTATAGTTTGTTATTTACTGGCGGTTATAGAGGTCATCAACTAGACACGGGGAGTATGGAATGTCTGTACTGGTGTTTCATGTTCTTTACTTTACTTTGTTAGTGTTCTTTGATGCTGGTATTTTCATATAAATTTATGGCTATTTTTTGGATCTCAAGAAGGTGATTGATTAATTTAGACCTTATTTTTATTATTTTTCATTGCTTATAAAATATTTATCAATAAAATTTAATTATTATTTAAAAGGATGTGTAAATATGTTTATAAAGTATCTATTAACTTAAAAATATTTGTAATCGAGTTTATGGTCGGTTATGCGGCAAAACCTCTGGTGTTAGAGTTCGGTACTAGTTTTCTTGCTGATAGGCGGCTTTATTTTATTTTGCATATGCAATTTGTTTATATCGTCGTTTATTCGAATAATGAGACTGAGTTGAACTTTGAGATGAAGAATAAAACGTTAATTTTAGTTATAAATAATAGGCAAGGCTTTATTAGTTTCATGTTTTTCCGGCTTTGAGTTAAGGTGCTCTCACAAAAGTTAACTTGTGTAATGAGACACTGGTATTGAAATTTTTTAAATAAAAATTAGCATTACTGTTTTTTAAGCTATCTTAATTGTAATAGTACATAGTGGTAACTCAGGATTGAATTATTGATGCAAAGTAGGTTGGCTAAAAAATTTCGGCAAGTTAAAAAAAACTTCAATTTACTGTAAAGATAACTGTCAACTTTTAAAAAGTGATAAGTAATTTTGCACGCCCTAAATTTAAACCGTTATTCAATGTACTCTACTCGATCCAGTGAATTTGCACTAATGAGTAGATTCTTAATCATAATTTAAGAAGTTGAAATTTTAAAAACTTTAATTGAAAGCAGTCTTGAGTAGCATCGACTATTTGAGTCGTTTTTTTTAGTAACTAAAAGTTAGAAATAAATTTCTAAATAAGATACTGAGATTAAAAATTATAAAAGCGACTTACTAATTATGAAAAAACGTTGACGTAAAAATTCCAACGTTTTTCAGTACTAGGATTGTTAAAAAGTTAATTAATTAAAAATTTTTAAACTTGGACAATCTTTATGATGAACACTAAACTTGATTATGGTTTTCATCATATTATAAAAACGGATCCCATATAAAAAAATAGATAATTAAATAATCTATTGAGTAATAGAGGGTTTTTTTTTTTTTAATTTTTAATTTTTCTTTGTTTTTAAGGAAATTTAGGAACCTGTAATAACTGGAACTACCTTTTAAGCTCTAAAATTTGACAAAATACTAATTTTTCTTTGAAAACTCTAAAGTGAAGAGAAAAAAATTTTTTTTAGAAACTTCATCAAGTTCTGAAGATTATTTTCCCCCTAGGACGCTTACTTTATTGTTGTTCAGAGAAAAGATTGGTAGAAAGGTGAAAACTCTGGACGGCAGATGTTGGAAGTATAAGGGGTGGTCAGGACTCAGGTCAAAAATACCGGATTACGATGAAAGACAGGAATACTTTCTGATGTGAATTTTGGGATATATCAAATATCGATATTGAATATTGGCATTTTAAATTGAAGCTTAAACCAAACATGATTTATAAAAATAACTGTTTTTAATAAGTATAATTACTTTTAAGCAATAAGTTTTTTCAGATTAGGGAAAAGTTATTGTTATGTACTTATTTTTGTAAAGACTTATGTTTCAGCTTATTGAAAAAATACTTCGAAGTGATTCCTAATTACTTTAGAGAGGTTAATCACTAATATAGTAATTAGTGATGAGTCATTTCTAATAGTTAGCTTGCTACTTCAATTTTTTTGTCTGAATTAAGTATCTGGCAATTCCTGTAGATGTCTCTAGCTTGTTGTGCTGCAGTACTTGAATCTATAGTCAAATATTCCGGACAAATGTAACCTAATTTCTTGAATTAGTTTCTGCCATTTTGATAATAGTCAGCCATTTTGTCGGAAGAGATTAGTGAATTCACAAGTTACAAGCCTACCTGATTAAAAAAATAACTATAGTTGATCAAATATCAAATTTCTCCAACCCTTGTTACATAGTTTCTGTTTCTGGTTTTTTTTTATAATTAATGAAACTAATCGTGTTATTATTAATTTATTATATTTTCCGTATCTGATCAAAGTATTGATTTTATTAAACAAAATTAGAGTTGAATTGAATCACATTTAAGTATGAATTGAAATTGTTATAATTTATGTTTGATTGGCACTTTATTAAATTATAAATATTCCTTAAAGATACATTAGTAGGTCATTTAAATAAATCCTCCGTTACGGAAGAATTAAATTAAATTTTGATGTATTTATAATTAAAACTCTGACCTGGATGTTTAAATGTTTAAAAATATCTTGAATATTTACCAAATTTAGGATACTAATTGTTATTTTTTTTTTTTTTTTTTTTTTTTTGTGTCTATTGCAGGGACTTTTGACGAGGTACCTGTTAAACAAGAGCGTCCAGATGAAGCGGAAATCCGGGAATTGGCTGCCAAAATGGTGGAAGCAAACAAGGCGAAAGTACAGTCAATGCCTGCACCGCCGGTAAGACCTGCTAATAATAATAATAATAATAATCTACCGGGAGGTCAAACCGGGATACTTGGTTATTTAACCCGTAAACCAGTTGAGGGAACTGGAGCTGGAGCAGCAGCACAACCAGCAGCCGGTAAATCTCCATCTAAGGATCAGGATGGTAAAGTGCCACTTGATGATGAAAGCCAGCGGGGTAGATTTGGCTGGGTGTCGTTTGAAAAAGTTCACATACCTTATATATTTCGCGGTAGTGAAAAATATTGTGCTGTTAGGATACTTGAGGCCAAGCTACTAAATAAGTACCTGAATTATCTTCACTCAGATATTTACAGTTGTACATGTATTAAAAGTTACTTTATAACTGAAGCTGAGAGTAAATTATTAAATGAAATAAATAACAAACATTGTGAAAATCAATTTGGTAAAGAACAATTTACAACTAGAGATTTAGTAGTGCGTTTATCCGACGCTAGAGAATTTTACACATTTTTAGATGTATGTTATACTAAATTAACAAGTAACAATGTTATCGGAAATAATAGTGGTAATAATAATGGACATAATAAAAATGATAAATGCGGATTTATACGTATTAATAAAGAATCTGTTGTTCCATATACAATAAAAGATAATTTAAAATACGTACCGTTATTTTATTTTGAAGGTGAAACGGACAATTTAAAATTAAAAGCCGAAAAATTAGAAGGCTGGGACTTGTCTTATTTAAAATTTTGTTGTAAAGTACAGGGTATACGTAATGAATTATTTGCTAGTGAAACATGTTCTGTTATAAGTTTAACTGATATTAAAAGTTATTTTCCACCTGGTACTGGCTTTGAAGACTATTGGCCTAGTAAAGTTATGGACTCACAGCTATTTGTTAATGGAAAAAGTGGCGCTAGTGCTGGTGGATGGACCAAACAACCACCCGCACCACCGGCTAATATTATTAACAAACAATTACAAAATAATTCAACCGGTAAATCCTCAGCGCAATTGACATCAAGATCGTCCGCTGGTTTGCAAAATATCCCACGCAATAGTCCTGCTAATGCAACTACCTTACAGCCAGTTAATCAATCATCAAGATCTGCTGTTACAGCCCATCCAGCTCATGTATCTTCTAATTCGTTGTCTGCTAATGCAAGATCTACTGCTGCTAATAATAATGCTCAAAATATGCTTGGCTCATTAACCACTGTTAATGGATGGACTGGATTAGTTGGTGGACAACCAGCCTTTCAAACTGCTATTGTACCTCAATCAAACGCCGTTATTAGGATGACTAATTCAGCGCTTATACATAATGTGAGTTTTATTCATTTATTTAATTATCATCTATGTTCTTTATCATTTTAGCTTAAATATTTAATGGTAATGATTATCATCAAGAGCTTTTAAACTATTGATAGAAGGATTTAGTTTTATTTAATAAATTGTTTATTGGTATCAAAGAAATTAATTTTTTAACTAATTTTAGCGTGTAACCTAACTTATTAATTTAAAATAGATCAAAATAATTTTAAGTAAAAATATAAGCTCTTATAAAGAAAATGATCTTGTTAAATTATATTTTTTTGTTTGAGACATTTATAAAATTTAAAATTAAACAAGTTTTTAACATATCAATAATAGACAAATTGAAAAATGTAAATACTTATTAAAAATATAATTTTTATCACCAAGAATTCATTGATTCGGTTCAGAAGTTTTAATTATAATTCGTATAGATTAATGATTGAAATTCCGTATATTATTTATACAACACACCTTCAATTCGAAGAGCGTTGGTTTGTTCCGTACTAACCTCAAAATTGGATTATCGATTCCGTCAAATTAAATCAGATATAAAATTTATAATTTACACTCAAATGACATAATAAGGACACTTGCAAAGATTAATATTTAATTATAAAATGTGATATAATTTTCAATCAATTAATTACGATGTTGATACAAAAATAGTTGTCCTATATACTTCTGCGTTATTCGGTTTAATAAAGATTAATTTTCATGCATTTGAATATTCAAAAAGTTCAGATTATTCTTGAGAACATCGTTCGATCACCGAAAGGTGACGCGTTAGAATGTGAATTAGTAAGTATTCGTCAAATGTTACATAACGTTTCGTAAATCAGAAAAATATTTCTAAAATTATAATCAAGCGGTTAGAGAAGGTATTATGTTTTTTTGTAAAAACTTGAAGAAAAAAGTTTTAATAGAGTAAAGTTTTAAAAAACCGTATTTTTTAAAACGCTGACTACAGTTGTGTAACAATAGGTAATAACTATTATCAACGTCGCAATAATTATTATAATCACTCTCATTCTTCGAAATAATTATAATTGTTCCATATAGAGAATTTCTTAAGGAAAATTGTCGAGTAAATTTAAATAATTCAAAGTAATATCGAATTTTTGTAAAAGTTACTTTTGATTACAATGTAAAATAATTTTTTTCACTAAGAATTCAATTCAGTAGAATCGATTTTTAATTTGCCGGTGGAAAATTTCTAAAAGGAAAATAAGTTACGTAATTAGGTCATATTGTTAATATTCAATCGTATTCATCTAATTTTTATTCAACAATCTTTTATTTTTTGCTTCCAATGTACCATTGTCTTGAATCCTTGTCTTGGTTAAAATTTTATTTTATTTGGCAATATTTTAGCTTCTGTTAAATATTTCATCAAACGGAGAAAAACTAATTCTCATTCTATGGCAGGTTATTTGAATTCAGCTACAGATCAAATAAAAATTTAATTATACGGTGTTGAAATTTGACCAGTAGAGCTAATTCTCATTACCCGTATGGTAATAATCAGAACTATTTTTACTGACTAAAAAAAGGTAACTTTGAAAATTAAAGACAGGTTTATTTAAACTTGGAATAATTCATCAAGTAGATCAAATAAATATTTTTATACCAAAGTTCTCTTCGCGCAGGTAATATTCATCATACCAATAACTGTAATTTTACATTAAAAATTCATGTTCTCCATGATATCCCCAAGTATCATATGTGGGTATTTATTAATGCTCTATAAATGTTATATCTTCAAATTGGAAAGATATAACCATCAAAATTAGTAATATGGGTATGTATGTCTGACTATATCCATTTATTTCTTATTACTCTATAGTTATAAATTATAATAATACAAATTTGATCTACATATGTATGGTATAAATAAAATTGTTGAAAATTTTAAACAAATTAATTTCTTATTACAAAGTCTATTTTTTTTTTTTTTTTTTTTTTTAAATTAGATAGGTCCAGGATGATAATCTTTACCATTAATTTTTGAACAAAGTATCAATTTAACCGATTCATAGATTTAAGTTTAAAAAATATCAATAATTATCAAAATGTAATTGAAATTGTTAATGCAATAGTTTTAATAAAAGTTAAAGTTTATTATTTTCATAACAGTATATCTTTTGATCTAGGCTTATCAACAACCATCAAGAAGTAGAGCTGGAGGCAACGGTACTGCAGTACCTGGACAATATCCATCCTATCCAGTTACAACAATCCAAACAATTCCGCAAGCACAACCGACTTTGCGAGCAACTGTGCACTCAAACCAACCTAATCTTGGGTAAATTTTTGATCAATATATTCTATCTATTCTTCTTTCATACTCATTAGTTTGTTTACGAAAAAAAGACAAAAAAATGTTTTTATTGTAGCAATGCGCAGTTAGCTAGGCTATATTTGTTCTTTTATAAATCACTTTTTGTTTGATTTACTTTTTAAGAAAAACGCTAGAGCACTTTTAGCGGTAGTTTGAGCTATTAAAAACAGATGGCGTACGGACAACTTTTGTTCTCGTTAGCAAAGTTATTATTACTTGTACTAAAGTTATGGATGACTTTTTTTTTTTTAATTACAATTTATAGTTTGGTTAATGGATAAGCTAATTAATAATAATAATAATAATAATATAATTATAAATGATTAATAACATTAATAATATTAATGTAAAAGTAGTAAAGTTATTAATTAAAATTACAAGCGTTAATAATATTGATGAAGTTATGTACTTTATTTTTATAAATTGGATTGAAAAATGCTGATTAATTAATTAATTAATTTATTTACCGGCTTTTTAAAATTAATAATTAATATATCATAAATAATTTTCAAAATTTTTCGTTTATATTAAACAAACGTATTAATTTTTTTCGATAAGTTATCATTAACATAATAATTTATTAAATATATTTATCGCACGGTATCGAATCAAAAAGCATTGAAAAGCTTTACGTATCAAATTAATTTTATTCAATGTGTAATTAGCATGATATAATTACTTTGATTAATATAATAACAAAAGAGTATTTTTAGAAGTTTTCAATCGATTAATTCGGTATACTTTATATTAATAAAAAAATAGATACTAAATTTAATGTTTGACCAAGTAATGAACATTAAATAAATTGAGGTTTATTTGCTTAAAAAAATTATTAATTATAAAAATCAAATAGGTCTACAATAAAATTTTGTATCCAAATGAAAAATATAAAAATTTTATTGTAAAATATTTAATATCAAAATATAAAAGATAAATTTGCTTGGACAATATTTACCCACGACATTAAAATCTAAGATATTTTATTTTTCAAAAGTTTCTATTGATTATAAATGTCACGTTAGATTATTGCATAAAAAATTTATTTATTTGTCATATTTTTAAAAATTATTATGTATAATACACGAGCAGTATGAGTTTAATTTTAAAATTCTTTCTCATAAAATATTTCACCGGTAATATGCTGCGGAAGTTTTGAATTAAGATCGTGTTGAAAACTATGCAAGATATAAAATTATTCGAAGCGTTTAAATTATTTTATTAAAAAACACGCTTGTATTACTTTTTAATATTTAATACATAATTTATAATGAATATGCAAAAGTTGATTCATTAAAAATTAAAGCTTGTTTTTTATTTTTTTTTAATATCGCCAACGAGAATGAACTGTAGATTTTTCCGATTCAATACGAGTTGTGATAACAAAATTTAATTAAATGATAAAAGTATTGCTACAGTAGTAAATATTTTTTTTATTTTTCAACGTTCGTATTTACTATTTGTTTGTGTACATATACAGTCCTTGCTTTTTAAAATTAATAAAATTTCGATGCTGTTTAATTTTTAATTAAATTTATACAACAAAATTTATTGGTTTTTTTTTTTTTTTTTTAGTAGAATTCAGAGTATTTATGCTGCTGGTTTTTTATTATTGTTATTATTAATTTTAATATAAATGCGTTATAATGCAAAGTTAATATATGGCGCCCGGTGTTTTATGGATATAATTAATTAATAAAATTGTAACTAGTAATTTGTAAAATTAAATTAATTATGATAATTTTAATTTTAATATTGTATCAAGTTCATACGCAAAAGTTTTTATCAAAATTATTATTTTTGCCAATAAAAATTAATTAATTCACTTACATTTTTAGTTTCTCGCTCATAAAAAATCAGCAGTGTATTTACTGAATTATATTTAAATATTTATGTCATTTCATGATGTTGATAAACAATTTTTTAATTTTACGACTTTTTTTAAGTATTGATCTAAAAATAATTTAATATAATTTACACAAACAAATCAATCGTTAATATGTTCAATTTAAAACAGTTTATTTACTAATAATGAATCAAACTCTACTTTAATTAATTTAAGGAGGTCCTTTCGCCGCCAATGTAAAATAAAAAATATTAGATTACCTACATTAAAATGGAATCAAAACATTTGGCAACGTTGCATAGCGCGCGAGCTTCAGACCATTCAATAAATTCAAACTAATTTATTTATTTACACTGACTGCAAAAACTTAAACGTGGTTAAGGTTATATTGTGCAAATGAAAATGTAAACAACCGAAGTACAGCGTTGCCAAATCACGAACAGGTTACTAGCAGCTGATTTGAAAGAGTCAAATTAATTTTTGTATTTAACTATTTTTTTTTATTTTCAAAATTTCAACGATTAATACCTCATATACTATTTATTATTTAATTTAAGGAATTTTTATGGGTTTTTTATTTTAATCTATCGTATATTGACTACTACAATTGTTTCGACTCAACTGGAGCGAGGATTTCCTTAATTAACTTACAATGTGAAGAAACAATTAAATTTTGTGTTGTTATTAAGAGAAAAAAAAATGTAAAATTTCAAAAGTTTAAGCGAAGATTTAAAATAAGTTATGCATTTAAAGCGATTTATATTGTAATTTTTTCATCTAAATGTTAATTTTCCGGTCATACATTTTCATTTATTATTACATAAAATTTTAAATCTAATAACTAGTAAGGTTAAATATGAATATTTTATCTGAAATATTTTCAATTAAGTCATTGCTTTTTAAAATAATTATAACTAACAACCTTATAGTCACTATGTGACTGCCGTTACTTGTGAACAATAAATAAAATTTTGCTTTATTAAATACTGACTTTTGTTAAATTGCACTGTACTTTTTTAAATATTGACGTTTTTAAAGATATAAGCTCATCTTGACGTTACATTCATCAAGAGCTTTCATTTGAGTAACCACATGCATTTTGATATATTTTTCATATATACATATATATAATATATATGAAATATATGAAAAATTGATGTGGGTACTCAAATGAAAGGTCTCGATGAGTGTAATGTCAAGATGAGCTTATATCTCCAAAAATATCATTAGTTGACAAGATAGCAGAGTCAGTTCGTAATTATTGACATTTCTAAAGATATAAGCTCATCACGATGTTATACTCATCAAGAGCTTTCATTTGAGTACCCACATGCATTTTTGATATATTTGTCATATATACATATATATAATATACATAAATATATAAAATATATGAAAAATTGATGTGGGTACTCAAATGAAAGGTCTCGATGAGTGTAACATCAGGGTGAGCTTATATTTTAAAAAATGTCAATAATTCACAAGATACAAGGTCATTTCTTAATCATTAAAGCATTAAAAAAATCGATTTTATCATATGACTTTCCTGGCCACAAAATTTTTCTGATTCTCTTAATAATATAGATTATGAAAAATTCTTCTGAAGAATATTAAAATATTATATTTAAATCATGATAATTTTAAAAGGGGAAATAAATAGGGATCTGTGTATATATATGTTAGAGAAATGGAAAAATTATTTAAGGAAATTGAGTAGTATTACAATATTGAATGTCAGAAAAAGGCTGTCATTAATATACAGGGATGGATACTAGAAATAAGTATAAAATAGTATTAATAGTATTGTAATGCGACTGTGATATGAAGGATGAGGTGGGTGAAAAGTTAAAAGAGAGTAAAAGCAGTTGATTTTTAAGCCAAAAATAGTGTATATGCAAATGTAAATAAATAATTTAAGATAAAGTTTTGTAAAACGCAATATGTGATACAAATAAAAACGATATTCTATTCTATTTTATATTTAAATCATGAAATGACATTAATATAATTTATACAATCAACTAAATAGAAAAATATATGAATAGGGGATGTGTTTAACTATAAAATGTGTGTCATATATTTACAAAGCATGATCATCTGATAAGAATGTAGATATTTGCAATGTTTGTTTGCTCTAATCTGGGTAAGCCACATTTGCACAAATGTCCTTTTGTCCCTTTCCCTTAATATCACCCTTAACTCCGGCAACCCACTTACTCTCCACGCAATCCTCTATTTACTTAATTCATATTCCGATGCAATAGCTTTATCATGTAGTTTTTATTGTTGTTATTATTATTATTATTAAAATCCTGGAACAAAAATGGAAAAAGAAAACATTTTTTTGCTTTTTTTTCGTATAGTTATCCAACCTATGGGAAGGATGACTGGTGAGTTCCTGCATAATGTATTATAGACTTTTATAAAATGCAATTTAATAATAGTTGCATGAAGCACTAAAAATTTTATTATTATTTTTATCAATAATTGTTTCTAAGTACTTTTATAATTTATCTCTCACATAAGTTTACTATTTTCACTGTAATTTTTTTCAATTTTTACTCTCTTTTTTATAATAATGCATGATATTATTAATAGTAAATTTTTTCATTTTTGACAATTGAATTTAATTAAAAAAAAAAAAAAATTATAAACAACATTTCTTCTTTGATAAATTTGAAAATTAAATTTTTAATTTAAAAATAAATCAAAAAATTTTAACTAAAATTTTGACATGTAAAAAAGTCTTGAAAAATTATTTTAATTAAAACTCTATTTTATTTTTACATAACCGAATTTCTAAAATTACATGACAATTTATAATTATTAGCAATTACAATTTATAAAAATGAAAAAATTTTTTACTAGAAATAAAATTAAAAAATTACAATTATCTTCACAGAAATTTTGGGAAATAACTGCTTGTTTTTTCAACAGTGTAATAACAAAATTATTAAATAATATATCCCTGCTCTTAAAATTAATAGTAAATATTTTTATGCACTTAGTTTTTCAATAGTATAGATTTTTATGAAGAAAAATTTTAATTATTATTAAATAATAAATAAACAGCCATCTAAAGTTTTAAAAATAAAAAAAACTAAATTTATAATAAAATTTTTTCAGGGTTGGTTCAACTTACACGACATCGAGTCTAACGAACCCAAATATTGTGACAGCAAGTACCTATCCTCAAATGCTAAATTTGAGTCCAGACCAGGTGCAAGCTCTCTTACACCCACAATCAACGGCGGCATCGGCGTTATTGTCTCACTCTCAGAGGCATACGCCACCTGCGCACAATGCGCATAATAATGCACATCCGAAAACCGCGGCGTATCCACCACCGCTTATACCAGTTAACGGCAACTCAAATAATGCCAGGTGATTATTTTTTATTGATTATTTTATTTTAAATAATTTTAATGTTAAATTTTTTTTAAAACACATTAATGTGATTGAAAAAAACCCTATTTTAATTATTCTAGAATTTTTTAATAAGCACTCTTTGGATAGCTTCAAAAAAATTTATTTTTAAGCTTTTTACTTTAGCAACTGATTAATTACTAAAAATAATTTTATTTTCAGAGATTCACATGGAAGAAAACAGTTGATACTTATTCAGGATGCACCAGTTTCAAATACCTCTCATGTACAACCCTACGGAATACAAAAAGCACTGGTTGAAGAAAAATTAGTGCCGTGTATTAATTACAAACCGTACATTTATTCCGAACTATTAATGACATTACCGGATTTTGTATCGCAGTATTTTCCTGCCTGTGATATTAATAATTGTCGACAAGTTATTACGGAGGTCCTTGATTGTGAACTATATCAAGGAAATAGGTAATTATACTTTAATTATTATTATTATTATTATTATAAAATCTCATTACTGCGAATAATTAATGGTTTTAGAATGTTATTGACTAAAATATTTTATAAATATTCACCATAATAAAATTCTAATCAGTAATATTTTAAGACTATTTGTTATAAAAGATCGATGATAATTATTATTCAATTTTAACACATGTTAAAATTAAGCTCTCGAATTATCAATTAATTTTATCTAATGAATAAATATGAATAGATGGTTGAAAATTTTAAGCCCAAAATAAAAGGTGTCATTTAAGTTTGACATTTGGGTTGTAATAATTATTTAATTACCTCAATTTATTTTTGGGTAATTTTTCGTATTTCTATAAATACATCCGTATAAATTTTTTATTTTATTAGTATTTATATAAGTAGGTCAATTTTAAAAACAAAATTAACTTACATATAAAATTGATTTTTATATAATTAAATTATGGTTTTTCTATTAAGAACGATGCTCAAGGCGCACTTCTAAATCTTTAAAGCCGATTTATTAATTAATAATATTTTTTGGTGAATATTAATTGAATTAGTAACTTTTTTAATAGAGAGAAATTTAAATTATTTTATTATATAAATGATAAAAGATATTTAATAAAATTTTGCTTTATTAAATAATGAATTTCGTTAAATTGCACTATACTTTCTTAAATATTGACTTTTCTAAAGATATAAGCTCATTCTGATGTTACACTCATCAAGAGCTTTCATTTGAGTACCCACATGTATTTTTCATATATTTCTCATATATACATATATGTAATATATATAAATATATAAAATATATGAAAAATTGATGTGGGTACTCAAATGAAAGGTCTTGATGAGTGTAACATTAGGATGAGCTGTAACATCGGGATGAGCTTATATCTTTAAAAATGTCAATAGTTATGAGATACTAGGTAATTTCTTAATTATTGACATTTTTAAAGATATAAGCTCATCCTGATGTTACACTCATTAAGAGCTTTCATTTGAGTACTCACATCAATTTTTCATATATTTTATATATTTATATATATATTACATATATGTATATATGAAAAATATACCAAAAGTGCATGTGGGTACTCAAGTGAAAGGTCTTGATGAGTATAACATCGGGATGAGCTTATGTCTTTAAAAATGTCAATATTTCACAAGTTACAAGGTCATTTCTTAATTATGTCGGTTTAAAAAAACCGATTGGATAATAAGAATTTACAATAAACAAACTCCAACTAAAAATGAATTAATAATAATTAAACATATTTTTTCTTTTATTTCCAGGCAACAAATGAAAAAATTGATGGAAGCTGGTAAATGTTCATCACTGACAGATGAATTGCCATTGATCCATGTGCGAAGTATAATGAAATTTATGCCTCAAATGAAATATATGTTTAGAAATATGGTAATGCCACCGACAACAGCTCATTCAAATGACGAGCATCCATCAAAAAAACGACAGCGTACGAGCTAGGATTGGCTCCAGCCTTACTGGCCCACTTATGATTACTACCATTCGGCATTTTAATAAATAAATAATAATAATAATAACAATAATAATAATATTAGTAGAAATAAAAATAATATAACTACAATTATAATAACGATTATTGATAATAATAACTAATAACTAATAATAATAAACCAGTAAAATATAATTAAAAGTGTCATTTATAAAGTGTCGCGTGTGGTAAAGTGGCACTTACTGTGTTTATATTTATTAAAAAAAACTTTTTTTTTTTTTTTTTTTAAGTTAATGCACTTTATCATTTATTATTTATCGATAAAATATTAACGATTTAAAATAACTAATACATTTAAATAAAAATAAAATATGAATTTAAATCAAGTAACTAGTGCGATGATTACTATTTTATTATTATTTATAAATAATAAAATAATAAAGAGTTCGTGCCTGCGCGTAAGGCTTTAAAATCTGCGCATCGTATGGCAAGATGGAAAATAATGCCCTTTCTTCACATTAATGACTGAAAAAAATTATTAAGTAAATTAAATTAAGCGAATTGAAAAAATTAAATATTCAAACTTAATAAATAATAATCACTATGATTATTATCGGGTAATACGACATTTCAACTCCTGACAAAATATCTCCAACAAAATATCCCAAAAAAAATATCTCCGACAAAATATCCCATAAAAAATATCCCCGAAAAATATCCTCGTCAAAATATCTCCGACAAAATATCCCATAAAAAATATCCTCGACAAAATATACCCGATAAAATATCCCGTAAAAAATATCCTTAGTGTTAGTCCATTTTCTAATAAACACACACAAAATTCATAATAAAAGGTCACAACACGATCACAAGCTTATGTTTGTGATATTTTGTCTGAAAAAGCTTTTATCGGGGATATTTTGTCGTAGGATATTTTATCGGGGGATATTTTGTCGTGATATCGATTATGATACAGCGATATTTCAACCCCCGACAAAATATCCTTGATGTTAATCTACTTTCCAATAAACACATACAAAATATATGATAAAAAGGCATAATATGGTTACAAGCTTATGTGTTGTGATATTTTATCTAAAGGACATTTTGTCAGAGATATTTTGTCGCAGAATCATTTATCATTAATTTAAATATCTTATTATTATTATTGTTTTTTTTGAATTTACAGGTGTAAGAAAATTTAATTATTTCAATATACACATTCATAAATTAATCAAGTTAAAACAACATTAAAATAAATTAATTATTTAAAAAAAGGACTTCAAAGCGTACTAGCTATGATAAGTTCAATATTTTTATTCACTGTTTTTTATTTAATTAATTTTACCGTCTAAATTATTTTATTTTCATCAATAAATTACTTAATTTTAAGTTGAGTAAGTTGAGTCACTAATAAATATTGGTGTTAGAAATAATTAATTTAAACGTTTAAAATTGATAAAAGTAGAGAATATTTTCTTTGGTTCTTATTTTATAAAACATACCTCTAACTTTCTTATTAATCAACAGTTTGGTTGCTTTTCTATACATAAAAATAAAAAAAAAAAAAAAACATAATTATAAAAGTTAAATATTAATAATAATAAAAGTGTATTTTTTTTAAAAAGTGATTCGTTAATATAAGATAAAGAACGATCAGTTGTAAATATCACTTAAGTTAACGCTGTAAATATTATAATAAATTAAAATAACATTAATAAACATTTAACAGTAATGCTAAACAATTAATAATTAATTAAGTTAAGTTAAAAGTTAAAATCCAAAGAATCACATCGATTTCATTAAATAGAATTTTTTTTTTTTCACTTTTGCATCAACTTATAATTACGATTGTTATATAAAATATTTTATAATTATTCATACCGGTATTATTTAGCCTTGGTAATTTTCTTTATTTCAATAATTAACTTGACATTATTATTATTATTAAACTTTGAGTCGGTAGAAAATTTATAACATTTCTTAAATTTAAACTTTTGAAAGATTGAAATATTTTTTTCAGCTTTATTTTCCCCCATAATTAAATATTCAAATTTAATTTAAATAATTCCTTTTTAAATTAGACATTTTTTTGAAAAAAATACTAATTAAAGAAAGCTCGCGAAGAATATTAAAAAAATGACATAAAATAATTTTTAAAAAATAATTTATTTTTTATTGATTATATTATTTATCAATATATAAATAAAATTTGTGTTTAAAATAAAATTTTTAAATTAATAAATAAACCGTGCCACATTTTTACCGCTTGAATGCATGAAAAAATTTTTCACAATAATTATAATAAATAAAAATTTCATCATTAAAAAAAAATCACTATCATAAAACGTTAGTAGATAGTTAAAAATTATTATTATTAATTGAATTTATTCTTATTGGTCATTTAAAATCTGGCCATATTTTTAATTTAAAAAAATAATGAGTTATTTAAATAAATGTAATAAATATAAAATAACGGTATTGTTAACGTCATTTACATAACAGCTATCATCAAGAAATAAAATAGATTTTTGTTTAAAAAAAAAATTATTAAGGTAGTTGTGGCAGTTAATTAATAATGCTAGTTATTTTTTTTTCTGTACTAAATAATAATTTAATTTTAAGGAGGTGTTATTGTCAGACATGTGTTTAAAATTTTTCTAAGATGAGTTGAATTTTTTATTGATAGAAAAATAAAAAAAAATAAACTGTACAGGACTACCTTAAATATAAATTTAATTATAATTATAAATTACGGTAAAAAGTAAGATTTAATAAATATAAATTTTAAGGAATTAATTGTAAAAGTCATTAGTCTCCGAGACATTGTATAATAATTAGAAACAACAAGGGGAATAAAATAATTTAAGTGTTTAAAATTGTTTTCATTATTGGAAACTTGTAAATAAAGAGAGTATAGAACTAAATATCGTAAATTTCTATGTATTAAATATTAAATAAAAAGTTGCTTAGATTTGTGAGTAAATAATTATAAGTGATTATTATAATTTATAATTAATAGGTATTAGGTATTTTTTTTTTTTGAGTTATTATTATTTAATTATTTAATAAATTGCCATTTAATATTCAATTGTAATATTAATAATTTTTATAAATTATCAATAATTTTTTGTATTACTAATTATAATTTATATTAACAATAAAACTCAATAAATAAATGATAAATTTTATAAGTTTGCGTTTTATTATTTTAATATTTTTACTACTATCAAATATAAATAGTAATATTTTTTTGCTGCAATTATTTAATGATGAACTTAAAAAAAATATAACTAATTATAAAAGTTAACAAGTTTTTTACTTACGGAGGGTTGAGAAGTTTTAATTTGGACTTGATGAAGTTTATTAGTGTAAAAATTCAGCTTGCAAAGGTAAGTTTTATTCACTGGTCACTAATAAGTACTTTTTTTAACACGCATTTATCATCTTCACTTTTATTTGACGGAATTTTAGAATTTTATGAGTTTTTTAATTTAAAAAAATGGAATTTTTAAAAAATAGAATTTTTTAAATAAATTTTTCAAGCTATAATTAATTATTAAAAAAAATTCATCAGCTGTTTCTCAATTTCTGAAGAAACTAAAATCAGCTGGTAGCTGTCAATTTTTAGAAATTTTTTTTTAACTAAAAAAATAGTAATAAAAAATTAAAAAAAAAATTACATTAATAGTTTTTTTTTAATATTAATGATACTGAAGTTAGCCGTCCGTCAATTTTAAAAATTTTTTTAACTAAAAATTTTCACTTGTAATTTTATGCACTGAAGTTAATCGACATTAGAAATTTTTTTAGAATTTTATAGCAATTGAATTATAAAAAAAGAATTAATTAAAAAATTCCACATGTGAAAATTAATAAAAATTATAAATGACACTGAAGTTAGCGGTGACTTGACTATTTTTTAATTTATTTTTAAGAAATAAATAAATTTGTTCCAAAAAATTGCATTTTTTATTTTTTTTAAATTTCTACACGTCAATTTTTTACAATAATTCAATTGTTGAATAAATTATCAAATGTCTGCTAAATTATAAGTAAAAATTTTGAGAAGCATTTTTTTCTTGTAATTGATTTGTTAAAATAATTTTTAAAATTGACAGCTGACGGCTAACTTCAGTATCATCTAATTTTTATTAATTTTTATATTAATAAAAAAAAAATTTAATTACAACAAATAAATTATAAAAATTGACAGCTGTCATTAATATCACTACTTATCATGAATTTAAGTATCACTAAAGAAGAAAAAAACATCTGAACTAAAAATTTATAAATTAACCGTTTAAAAAGATAATACTGAAGTTAGTCGTCAGCTGTCAATTTAAAAAATTTTTATAACAAATCAATTCCAACAAAAAAATGCTTCTAAAAATTTTCACTTGTAATTTTTATTAATTTTAACATGTGAAATTTATTAATTAATTTTTTTTTTATAATAATTTAATAGCCATAAAATTCTAAGAATATTTTTTAAGTCTGTCAACTTTGAAGAGTGTCATTTGAAAAAAAGGCCATAAGATGGCAGCTCGATTGCAGGGCATAAATACGATCCGAGGATAAACGAAAAACAACGGAAAATATCGAAGTAATTCAGTAGCTGTCGCCATTTTGTCAGAGAGTCATCGGAGTGAACCCTGTGACAATCGGCTGGTGTTTATTTATTATCTTAACTGGGTGTTATAACCGTCGAATAATTAGCTATAAATTCGTACGGTAAGACCCCAAATGGCTTGCTTGAATACTCTCAAGCAGGAGATAAAAACTCTCGAGTCTGTCTTCCCAAAAAGTCATGAAAGGTTTCAGATAATGTCCGCGAGTGTGGACGAGCTCAGCTGCAGATTTGTCGGTAAAAATGGGAAGAAATATGAAATTCACGCCAACATTACCGTAAGTATTTTTTATTTTTTACTTTTTTAAAGTCTGACTAATCCGCCAACCTACTTGCCTATCGTCTATTAATATATAAACATAAAACATATATTCCTCCACATATATTTAATCTATTTACACACCATTAATTATTTATCCAGCTACTGCATAGTAGACAAAGAAACAATAACATTCGCCTTATTAATTTTTATTTACTATTTACTGTTAATATTTATCCACTTTACTAATTTAAATGGCTCCCTTTTATAATTTTTTACAATCAAGTATTTCCATGGGAATTTCTTTTAACTTTTTTGTGTCGTCATGTAAATGAACTAAGCATGTCATTGTGTTTGTGTGTATGTTGAGGGTAAAGCCCCCATATCCTTCAATCACCAATTCACTATCGAAAAAGAACAAACTGTAGACAAAGGTCTACGGTCTTGTTATTATTAATATTAATATTTATTTTTTTTATTTTCATTATTTATTACAACACCGATTTAAGTTTATTCAATCAATAATTCATTCTTTATTAACCGTTATAAATATCCATTATATTCAATCAATGAACCTACTTTTTATTATCATTGATAGTATCACTATCACTGCTTTAATGACATCCAATTTTACTCCCAAAAATTCATTGTTTTTTTCTATTTACTGTTTATATTATTTCATCATACAAATTTTTTTTGGTTATGTTTTAGTACACGATAAATATTTTTATTACGTCATTTTAATGCGTGTTAATTTGAAAAAAAATTTTTTTTAATTATTTTATTATTGTAAAAATATGCAGCAAAATTAATTAGACAATTTAATGTTTTTTTTTTTTTAATTTTAGGCTAAAAAAAATATTTTTGTTTGTTTAAAAATGATTTTTTTATAAAATTTTATGTTTAAAAAAATTGTATATTTTTATTTAAAATTTAATGATATTTTAATAAGCAATAAAAAATTTCTTTCAATAATTTTATTACTGTAAAAATATGCAGCAAAATTAATTAGACAATTTATTGTTTGTTTTTTTTTTTTTTGTTTAAAAATAATTTTTTTATAAAATTTTATGTTTAAGCTTTAAATAAGTAATAAAATTTTTTGGCTTAAAAATTTTGATTAAAAATATTTTTTAACAATTTAAAATTGAATTTTACAGGAAACCTATCCTTCGACCCCACCAGTCTGGTTCGCAGAGTCTGAAGAAACAAGTGTCACTAACGCCGTGCAAATATTAAGTAACACAACGGGTCGTGATAATCACGTTATTAATCAAGTAGGAATACTATTAAAAGAACTATGCCGCCTTCATTCGATACCCGAGCCACCGGATGTCGAGAGATTAAGAACGGCGTTAGATCCCTTGAGATTGGGAGCCTCCGCGACTGCGGTTGTTGCACAACGAATGGAGGCCGAAGAAACCGATGAGCTTGAGGAAGAGGAAGAGAGCGAGTCCGAGGAAGATCTCCATCTGGAAATGGATGACGTTGATGCCAACAAGAAGAATAAGGTGAATATAAAGTACCAATTAATTAATAATTCAATTTTACATTAAATTAATTTTTATTTATTCTGTTGTAAAGGCTGATGATATGGATTTAGAACACTTAGCAACGTTAGAAAGGCTGCGGCAAAATCAGCGACAAGATTATTTGAAGGGTTCGGTATCGGGTAGTGTACAAGCTACCGATAGACTTATGAAAGAATTGCGTGATATTTACAGGAGTGACAGTTTTAAAAAAGGTTTTTATTTTTATACTTATTCCTTTCTCTTTATCCTTGTTTCAATTTTCTAAATTTGTCGTAAAGTAATATATTAGCTATTAAAATGGTTATTTTAAACTTTTTAATTGCTAAATAAACTTCTCTGAAGTTTATTTTATGGATACTAGCAACCTTGCAGTCACTATGTGAACTATAAATAATTAAAATTTTGCTTTATTAAATAATGACTTTTGTTTAATTGCACTGTACTTTCTTAAATATTGACGATTTTTAAGATATAAGCTCATCCCGATGTTACTCTCATCAAGAGCTTTCATTTGAGTACCCACATCATTTTTTCATATATTTTCATATATACATATATATAATATATAGAACTCATAGCAAAACATTATTATTAAATCCAAGATTTTTGTTTTTATTATTTAAATTAAAAATTTAATTTTTTACAAAAAAATTTTCTTGTAATTTTTTTTTTACAGCCAATATTTTTACCGTAATTTATTAATTAAAGTTCATAATTAATTATTAAAATTTATACTAATTATAAAAAAATTAATTAAAAAATTGCGGCTTTTTTTATTGGTCTTAAAAAAAATCTATAATACTTTTTTTTTACAAAATTAAATTTTAAACTTTTAAAAAAAATTTTTTTATATGACCAATATATAAAAAATTTAATTATTATTGTTATTATTAAATAAAAAATCCTGGCCATAATTATAACAAATAATATTAATAAAAAAAAAAATAAAATATTAACTTGCAAATAGACTCAATCACACAAAGTCATTATGTAATAATAATATCATAAAGAAGATTGTAATTATGGGAAATAATAATAATCTTGATAGGGTTAATTGTGCTGTTAGATGAAACCGGCAAACGCGTAACACACAGCAATAATAGTAATTATTTGAATGTATATGCAGTATTATTTAATTGCGTAGTCACCATTAAAACAAAATCTTAATTATCCCATCACACATACGCACACAAACCTTAACTTGTCCATCACGTGGTGGCGTTATTCTGAACTGCTTTCTTTCTTTCTCCGGTTCTTTATATGTCTCAAAAAATTTAAATTTATTTGAGATGTCGGATGTCTCGACTTGAATTTCTTCGGTAGTATCTGTACTACGAACCACATCGTCTGCTCGTACCTGACGTCCCATAAATATCTTTTTTTTTATTACAACTCCCCAGTTAATCAATCATTCTTTTTTAAATAATAATAATGAAAAAAAAAATTCAAAGTATTTAAATAAAATAGAAACGAGTAATTTACGCGATGATACTGATAACAGTTATTACAAATATCTACAGTATATTTTTCATATATACATACATATATAATATATGAAAAATTGATGTGGGTACTCAAATGAAAGGTCTTGATGAGTGTAACATCGGGATGAGCTTAGATCTTTAAAAATGTCAATAGTTTACAAGATAGCAAAGTCAGTTCGCAATTATTGACGTTTTTAAAGATATAAGCTCATCCCGATGTTCCACTCATCAAGAGCTCTTTCATTTGAGTACTCACATGCATTTTTGATATATTTTTCATTTATTTATATATAAATATATGAAAAATTGATGTGGGTACTCAAATAAAAGGTCTCAATGAGTGTATAACATCGAGGTGAACTTATATCTTTAAAAATGTCAGTAGTTCACAAGACACAAGGTCATTTCTTAATTATTGATATTTTTGACGATGTAAGATTTAATATAAATAAATAAATATGATAATATAATGGTAATTTTTTTTTTTTTTTAATAGGAATGTATAGCATAGAATTGGTTAACGACAGTTTATATGAATGGAATATCAGGTTAATGTGTGTTGATCCTGATTCACCGTTGCACAAAGATTTGGCACTTCTTAAAGAAAAAGAAGGCAAAGACAGTATTCTCCTCAATATGATGTTTAAGGTAAATTGTTCGAATATACTAAATTGTAATTTACGTTTATTTAATCTTAGCTTAATTAATAAATATTTTTTTTTTAAGTATTTGAAAATTAATCGACACAAAAAACCCTTTTTTAAAATGTTTACATATAAATTCAAAGTAAACACACTATGTGTATTGTGTAGGGTATATTGATGGTTTCTGACCTGATAAGTATAATAGATGGAATTTTTAAGAAGGTCAGGTATAAAGTAAAGTCCAAAACTGTGGGTGACGTGGCTTCGCTTTAAATTCGCCCTCTTGGAATTAAAATAGAAAAAATAAATTTTATATTGCTTTGATGGCTTTTACTTTGTCAATTTTTTAAAATTCTTTTTAAAACATTAGTAGATATTTTATAAAAAATTATAATTTAGCATTTTTTGGGTCGAAAAATTAAATTAATTTTTTTCACTTTAACATTACTTTAATATTAGTCAATTTCTTTTAAAAAAAATTTTTTTTTCAGTGTATATAACTTATTGTAATAAGTAGGGATAAAAAAATCAATAAATCTAATGAATATTTTTAATAATAATTAGGAAGCGTATCCTTTTGAACCACCTTTTGTACGAGTAGTTCATCCTATAATATCCGGTGGTTACGTGCTAGTGGGAGGAGCTATTTGTATGGAATTGCTCACAAAACAAGGCTGGAGTTCTGCGTACACTGTTGAGGCAGTGATAATGCAGATATCAGCGACATTAGTGAAGGGTAAAGCGCGTATACAATTTCAGGGTGCTAGTGGAGCTGGTAAAAATTGTGGTGGACAAGGCCAATACAGTCTTGCCCGTGCTCAGCAATCATTTAAATCTCTAGTGCAGATACACGAAAAAAATGGTAAACTACCTTAATTTTTATTTATCCATTTTACTTATTACTAAATTAATACATTAACAAATTTAATTATTTACAGGCTGGTTTACGCCTCCGAAAGAAGACGGCTAATAAATTACTCATAAAAAATGAAATAGTGCCGAAAAAAAAAGTAAAGAAAATAATTTCAAATGTGAAGATTGATAATTAAGTGGTTTACATCCAAAAAACTTTAAGAAAAAAATAACAAAACAAAATAATGATGTGTGCCCCTTAAACAATTAATTGTTAACGTAAACATAAACGATTTGATATAACATAAATTACAACATTAATTTAAGTAATTATAATTACAATATAAGAAATAATTATTAATTATAAATAATTAATCTTATCTATAATACGTTTAAATATGAATTGCTAATAAGGCTGCCGCGCTAACAGTTTCAAGTGATTCAATACTACATTTTCTGTAATTAAATTTTCATTTACATTCAATTAGATCGCAAATTTTATAACGCTATTGTGACTATTTTTTTAGTTGTGGCTTAAGGGGTGGGGGGGGGGGGAAGACGTTTTCACGCTGATTTTTTTATTAATTTTTTAAGGTATGAAAATTAATATTATTTATTGAAACTATCAGGTTATTTTATACATATATTTATGATTTTTCATATTTTACGACAATATAACATAAAAAGCCACAATTTTTATCTGAAATCAATGGTAACGATTACCATAGCAACTGTCACTATGGTAACGGTACTATGACAAAATTTATCAAATTATTTATTATTTGTTAAATTATATTGATGTTTAATACGAAAAAATATTCATAAAATAATCTAATAGTTTCAATAAATAATATTAATTTTTTATACCTTAAAAAAAATGAATGAAAACGTCTTTCTCCTCTAAATTATAATTCAATTTATTTTAAGTCTTATGTTAACCACGTAATTAGCTAATATTTTATAGATTAATTACTAATTTTTGTTATAAAAATTTTTCGGTTAACAATCGTGCTTCCTTTTTGTTTGAATTTTTGTTATTTTGAACAATGAAATTTGCGATTTAATTTATACGATTTTTAAAATTTATCTAGTTAATTTTTTTTATTAATCGTATGGTTATACTTTTCATTAATTTAATGATTTTTTTAAATTAGTTTGTAATGAAATTTTTTATAATTGTTTTAAAAAGGGATTTGCATCGTGACAGTTTTGTTTAGAATTAACGATGACTGAATTATTCCTTTAGTACATTATTATTTTTTACTATTAATATTATTATTATTATCATCATTATCATTATTAGAATTGTAAGTCAGCCTTGGAAACAAACATACAAATTTAATCACGTGTCGATTGTTATATTAGTACAGATTGTAGTGTACTACATCAGTATACTTAATTAAATTTGTAACGATTACTTAAAAAAAAAATCTTCAAGTGCAAATTAATTATTTTAATTTTTTACTCGATTTAATTTTTTTAAACATTTTTTTTCGAATGTTTTTTTTTTATTTTATTTTGAAATAAAAAATAATTTTTTGTAAGTAGTAATTTCTTAGAAAAAAAAAAAAAATTTAATTAATAAATAATAAAATTAAAATTTTTAATTTGCCAAAAAAAAGATGATAAAAAACTCAGCTTTGTCGTAAACGCTTACGTCAAAATGAAAAACGAAAATAAAAAACAAATATACATTTATAAATATAATTAAAATTAAAAACAAAAAAAATATTTTTTGTTTATTTTTAAAAATACAATAAGCCATATTTTTTTTACACCGATAGAAAATTAATAATCAATTCGAAGTAATTTGATCGATATCATAAAAAAGTAATTATAAATAAAAAAAAATTAACGTGTGAAACATCTAATTGTATAGTTGTACTGTATGCGAATTTAGTGCAATTAATGTTTGTGGTTTTTTTTATACTAGTGACCGTAAATAGTACGAACTATGAAAGATACTTTTTGATTCATTTAATTCTTGTTTAATTATTTATAAAAAAAAAAAAAGAAAATGCAAAGAGAAATATCAACAATAAAAATAATAAAGGAAAAAAACTACTAAGCCTTGCCAAAGTTCATTATTCGCGTCATAACTCGAATTATTTGTAACTTTAACAGTGTATCGAGTGCATTCCTTTTTTGTTTATTTTTATTTAAATTAATTTAGTTTTTTTGTTTTAATATTAAGGATAAGTAATCATTAAATCTAGATAAGTAATTAATTATAAATTAGTAATTAATATTAAACTGTTAGAGATGTACATAAATATATAATAACTCTTTGTAGCGTCTTTAATTAATTTGGATTTATCACCACGTTTATTTATATTATGATTAACACTTTAATTATATTATAAATTATAACAATTTATAATTGTGGAGGCGGTTAAATATATTTGCATTTATACGTTTTTATTTACTCATTTTCACCAAATTTATTATTTTTATATTGCTTTTTTTTCAAAAGAATTTTTTTTTTTTTAGATAGTCAATTTATTCTAAGTATTTAGGCTGCATTCGAAAATGCTCTATCTCTAGATAAATGACCGTGTACCTCGTGAACTATTGACATTTTTAAAGATATAAGCTCATCCCGATGTTACACTCATCGAGACCTTTCATTTGAGTACCTACATCAATTTTTCATATATTTATATATATTATATATACTACATATATGTATATATGAAAAATATATCAAAAATGCATGTGGGTACTCAAATGAAAGGTCTTGATGTGTGTAACATCAGGATGAGCTTATATTTTTAAAAACGTCAATATTTAAAAAAATACAGTGCTATTTAACAAAAGTCATTATTTAATTAGTCAAAATTTTATTTATTTGTAGTTCACAAGTCACATAGAGACTGCAAGGATGCTAGTTTGAATTAAAGTATTGAAGATGTAAGCACTTCCTTAATAAGTTGGGTATAATAAAAAAAAATCTAGGTCCTGATTTCCATTATTGAAGATGGTATTATCAATTACAAATCGAATTACGTAGAGTGGTGTATATTCGGTGACACAATTATTGATTTTTTTTTTTTTTTTCAATAAATAGAATTAATCTCCTTGAACTCCTTTTTCATTTCAAATAAGTTTATAGGATCCATAAGATATTCATCCTGCGTTAACTCTAAAATAAGAACTTAGATTAAAAAAAAAAAAAAAAAAACTCAATATTTAAAGGTAATACAAATTTAATTACTCATTTTTTGGAAAACAAAGATTGTTAATAACAATAACCTACAGAAATAATAGTAAGTATTTTAATAATAATTATTCCCAAGCATCTCTGACGCGTAGATGAGCTAGTTGGTCAACCCAACTGAAGTGTTTGTTAAACAATTCGTTCCTCTTTCTATTACCCACCACGGATAGAGGAACTGGTACCTTTAGGTCTTTCATATAATCTCGGGACTGTTCGGATGTCAAGTACGGATGCCGTAAAATAAGCATGTTTTCTTCGTCACGTTCCAGACGATGTCGGAGCATAAACAAGTGCTCCATTTTTGGTTTTGGTACAACTCGATTTTTTCTGTAATAAATAAATATTAAAAGTAATTAATATTATAAAAAATAAATATTATTTAAAACTAATAATAAAAATAAAATAAATAAATTATAGGTAGCAAGAAATAATTATTTACAAAATTAAATTTTTAGAAGCTTAAAAAAATTGTTAAATTAATGACATTAATTAATAATAATTACTTTGTTTAAAAAAGAAAACAAATGTCTGACGTCTTCTTTTTTATTATTTATATTTATTGTTTATTAATACTCTGTTCTATTTTTATAAATAAAATAAAAATATAAAATATATTTTCTTTGAGAGGTTAAGTTAAGAATTGTACAATAATTACCCTCGGTATTTAATTCCATGAGGTGGTTTGCGTTTGGAAAGCATCAAAAGTGCCGTTAAATGCATCTTGGTATGTAATAAATTGAAAAGTTGTCAATTACAAAACAAAAAATCAATTGTATTGATTTAAAATGCCGACAATGTAACATAAATACACAAATAGTGAGGAGAAAAAATTTTTTTTATTTCGTTTTATAAATAACGTGTGCGCAAGCGCATTATTCCATGACGTACATGCGCAATTAAATTTGCGCGAATTTATTTGAAAAATCTTTAAGAGCTCTTACGCTTCAACTGCAATTTTTATTTTTTTTTTTTTATTTTAAATTATATATTTTTGCAAACAATTATTTCTTCTTTAAAACAACTTTTTACTTATAAAATATTATTTTTAATGCTTGGATAATTTTTCTTAAGAGATCAGATTTATTTAAATTGAAAAAAAAAAAAAGTTTGTAATAAAAAAAAGAAGAAATAATTTGATTTTACTAAATTTAATTCATTATAGAATAAAATTTTTAGAGAAAAAAGTTAATTCTCAAATGATTGAGATTAATAATTGATGAAGAAATCGGGAAGTTTGAGATAACAGTGATATTTGTATAAAAAATGTACATAATTGATATAATGATGACTTTTAAGGATTCGGAAAAGTGTCATTTAAAAATAATTAATTATTAAAGACTTTTTAATGGGTTTAAAAATAGAAACGTCGAGTTTGGAAGAAATTTGAAACACTATCAGCTTCCAAAAGAAGAAAAAAACAAAACCAATTGGTAATCAGAGCAAAACAATAAAGGAATTAAAAATGAATTGATGTTCAAGATGAAAATAATAAAAGAACAAAACTGAAGATTACTTCAGTGCAACTTTGAACTTGAAAGTCCGACATATAATTTCAGGAAGTTACAAAAATCAATACAGCTAGAAATGTATATAATTATCATTCAATAATATTAATTACGACATTAATGTTAGCAGTCACTTGACAATTTTTTAATTTATAAAAATTAAAGTAGCAGATATTTAATAAATTTTAAAAACTTTTTTATGAAATAAATTAGTGCAAGAAAAATTGACATGTAGAAATTTTAAAAAACTAAAAATGCAATTTTTTTAAATTAATTTTTTGGAAGAAATTTTTTTGTTAAATAAAATTAAAAAATTGTCAAGTGCACGGAAAGAACAAGATGACACTGGATACCATCTCAGATTTATACTCAGTGACATCTGAGGCGAAAAAAATTTCAGATGGTAGCTAGTATAATCCAGATTATACTGGATAATATCTGGATTATACTCATTGTAATCTGGATTACGCTCATTGTTATCTGGATTATACTAGCTACTATCTGAAAAAATTTTTCACTCAGTATAATCTGGGATTATATCCAGTATAATCTTGTTCTTTTCGTGTGACTGCTAACTTAGAATTTTATTTAACAAAAAAATTTCTTCCAAAAAATTAATTAAAAAAAATTGCATTTTTAGTTTTTTAAAATTTCTACATGTCAATTTTTTTTTCTAATTTTTTTTCCACTAATTTATTTGATAAAAAAGTTTTAAAATTTATTAAATAACTGCAACTTATTATAATAATTTTTATTATTAATTTATGAATAACGAATTGTATTTTCCAGTCAGTAAATTATTAAAAATTTTCCCATAGTGGAGCAGAGCAGCAGGTTACCCGGATAAATATCCAAAAATAACACTCTAGTATGATTCGATTCGCTCAAAAAGCAATTTTGTGGCGATGAAAAATCTATAGATATCCCAAGGTCCGAATTGCCCTGCCAGGGCCAAAGTTACCCTTGTTGACTCTCTTACTACTGCTCTCACTATTAATATTATTATTATTATTATAAATAATAATTAATATTTAGTATCTCGAGTTAAGTCTCAAGAGGTTCTGAAAGCTGTTGCTTCTCCTAAAGATAAAATTTTTTAATAATAAACTATATTTATATCTACATTAGCATAAATAATATATATAAAGAGACATGCGCGGCCGACTCTATAGCGCGTCTGCGTTTTGAGCTCTGTACCATCGCAGGGAAGCTGTGTCAGAGCTGAAAATTTGTACATAGTTATTGGCTAGTGCACATCCCTGGCCAATAGTGCTTAGCACTTAGTACTACCTTTTAATTAGTTGTATACATATCTGGTATTTTTTATATTATCAATTATCAATTATTATTATTATCATTATCATTAATAATATTAAAGTTTTCTGTGTTTATATCTACAATGTACATTCTTCTATTATTAAACAATTACTCTATTTAATTTCTCTCTTCTTCATTTACCCTTGAATTATTTATTCTTCCTTCTTTCGAATTTTCACTTTTAATTATTAATTTTTAATAAAATTAATAATTAATCAATTTTTTTTTACTAAATTATTTTTTTTATTAAACATTTAATTACCGAGATTGTAATTAAAATTTTAATAATTGCTTTTGATTCTTGTTTTATTTTTTTTCCAAGTCATTAGCTTATAGGATAGGACGAGGTTGTAAAAATAAGTGAATGTAGAGCAGGATAATTTGCAGTGCGTTGGAATTTAAAAAAAAAGTAAAATTACTTTTTAAAATTATAATTTTTTTTTCAGAATTATTTTATTTTTACAGTAAAATATTTATTGCGCTAATGAGTTTAAATAATTATTTTTCTAATGTTCTTGTCGCTAAATAAAGATATTAAATATTATGTAAATAATAACTTGTAAAAAATAATCAAGATGTTGAGTCCGAAGATGCAAAAATCAGGTAATTATTTATTATTATTGTTTTGAGAGAAAAAAATTATAAATCATACTTGGTTTTTTAATTTAGTAAGAATAAATGATTCGCAAGTATTAATGCTGTCAGAGAGAGCTCATTATGATCATTCATTGGCTGGTTATTTACACAAACGAACCGCTGATTTAACGAAATGGCAACTTCGTTGGTTTGTTCTCTACCAGGTAAAAAATAAGAATAAAAAATTACTAGCAACCTTGTAGGCATTATGTAACTTCCGTGACTTGTGAACTGTATATATAAATAAAATTTTAATTTATTAAATAATGAATTTTGTTAAATTTCACTGTATTTTTATAAATATTGATGTTTTTGAAGATATAAGCTCATCTCGATGTTACACTCATCAAGACCTTTCATTTGAGTACCCACATCAATTTTTCATATATTTATATATATTACATATATGTATATATGAAAAATATGTCAAAAATGCAAGTGGGTACTTAAATGAATGCTCTTGATGAGTGTAATATCAAGATGAGCTTATATCTTTAAAAATGTCATTAGTTGACAAGATAACAAAGTTCTTAATTATTGATATTTTTAAAGATATAAGTCCATCCCGATGTTACACTCATCAAGAGCTTTCATTTGAGTACCCACATGGCATTTTTGATATATTTGTCATATATACATATATGTAATATATATAAATATATAAAATATATGAAAAATTGATGTGGGTACTCAAATGAAAGGTCTTAATGACTGTAACATCAAGATGAGCTTATATCTTCAAAAGTGTCAATAGTTCACAAGATACAAGGTCATTTCTTAATAATATAGATTTAATTTTCGATATTTTGTAAAGAATATTCACTTCATGCTTTTGTTTTAGAATTTATTATTCTATTATGATAATGAGGCTTTCTCACGTCCAAGTGGTGTCATTATGCTCGAAGGTTGTTATTGTGATCGGCTTATTGCTGCGACGACGACTAACACTGGCAAAGAATCGGAAAGAAAAGTACTGTTTTTGTCAAGCTCTCCTTTTCTTAATTCTTAAAATATGTATGACTTTTTTTTATATTTTTCTTTCATTAGTTTTGTTTCACTATATCATACCGGCGAGAGAACCAACGGCAGTATGAGTTGAAAGCTTCTACGGAATCAGATTGCAAAATGTGGATCGACGCTATCAGAGATGCCAGGTTTGCTTTTATTATTTATCTGTTGTGTAGATACATGTGCAGGTTGACACAAACATGCTATTTAAATGAATAATTAATAATGATAAAAATAGTTTTCACAATTTAGTAATAAATAAATAAAAAAATTTTAATTACAAAATTAAAATTGTTTAATTTATGAACATTGTCAACCGATACAATACCAATACTGATTAATTTAATGCATTTATTGCGGTAATTTCCATATTATTATTTTTATACTGCATTTGATTTATATGAGCATACATAAATATTTATGTTTAACTTATTAATCATACTATGAGAGAATTAATTTTCGTAGACTATTAATAACATTTACTTCTACTACAATACACTAATTATTACTGAATTTCTCACCCTCTAAAACTGAATGTAGAATATTTATTAAATCGGTGCATAAAAAAATTTTTCCAAGCTAAAATAAACTTTTTTGTGGGTTTGAAAAGTAAAAAATTAGCATATTTTTATCGAAATATAAATATTTTTATAAAAATATCTAAAAAATTCAGTTACGGCAAACGAGTTTGCTTTTAAGCGACAAATTTTGACAAAGTTTGAAACAGTATAATCAAATTTTACAGTATTATTTCTTCAGTATTGGTTTTAGTATTCTATAGTGTAAAATTAGTTAATTAATTGATTCAATTTTGCTGATCAAAGATGGAATTTTATGCAAATTGTTTTTCCGATATTATCAATTTTCCAATATAAACTTTCTACTGAAGGTCAAAAAATGTTTCAAAAATTTTTATATTAAATATTTAACACTTTTATTTGTAAAATTAACATTTATTTTTATTAAAAAAATTTTTGACTGTTTGGAAACATAAATCTAAAAAAATTTGGTACTGACATATGTAGTGTAAGTAAAAAATGTTTAAATTCAAAATTTTGATCTTCATATTTCAAAATTAAAAGCCCATGTTGATGAATTTTTCCTAGATATTAAATGTCCTGAATATTAATATCGTCTAACGAATATTCTTTGTGGTTCTATTTTACATGTAAAAATTTCATAACATCAATGGATGTTCGAACGTATAAAGTTTCAATAAGCTCCTATTACAAAAGGAAGAGCTTGAACAGAAGCATCTGCATCTACTACAAATTGTCGAGAGTGAAAAAACGGCTAAATGGCAATATACGCAACAATGCGAAGAACTGACGTTTGAAATTAAAAAATTACGATCCGAGGTAGGAATTTATTTATCGTGTGATCGTTGATAGCAAATTTATTCTTAGCAATAAAAAATATTCTAGTTGAAAAATTTTCTCCATTGATTCACAGTTGTGTATCCTAAAACGCGAGCTGCAGTCGAATTCCAAGATTACGATCATCCAAAACGACAATAACAACAATGATGACGACGATGATGAAGATGACGACGAATACTATAACGACGAAGACGAAGAAGATGATAATGATGATGGTAGCAGTGGCAAAACCAGTACTTTGAACGTCGGTGAAAAAAATACGAGTAATGCCAAAAAAATCTCTTCCCCATCTACAAAATTGCCTCCTTCTCCTACGACTGCCAGTGTAAGTATAATTATATCTCGGCATTTGTCTTTTAATAGTCTGTGTTTTTTTTTTTTCTACGGAAATTTTTATTTAATTTTTTGTCAGTAGAGGGGAAACTTTAATTTTTAACCTTTGTAAAAAATTAACAAAGATCTATCGTGTTACTAAAAGAAAAAAAGACTTTTGAGAAAGAAGATATATGATAATTTAATTAATAATACGTTAATTACAACTTTGAAATTTAATTAATATAATTAATAGGATGTCAAAACGAAAAACCGGCGGCATCATCGTAGGCGACATTTAATCACTGTTAATGGAATGAAAGGCGGCAATACTGGCACTGGAACATCGCCAAACATTGCCAGTGTTGTAGATATGGAAAAGATTAAAAAAGTTCAAAGTTTTTTTCGCGGATGGCTTTGTCGGCGCAGATGGAAGCAGATTGTTGAAGAGTACATCAAAAGTCCCCATGCTGAAAGCATGCGTAAAAGAAATAGGTATTTTTTATCTTTTTAATTAATTTATTCATTTATTTTTTGTAATTTATTAGGGCGTGATTTTTTTTTTTTTACTTTTTTTTTTTTTTATGTAGAAACCTAGAAACCCAATTTTATATAATTTTCCACATAAAATATTAAACGTTTGGTTTTTTTATAAGTTTTCATCAAGAAAATTGAGTTACCCATAATTTTCTTCTTGGATGAACGTTTAAATTGAGAAGCGAACATCTTCAAATAACAAAATATACTAGTTAACCTCTAGAATTATAAGCTGAGTTATGATATGTTAAACACACTAAAATAACTAGCCTATGCTAAAGTAAAATAAGAATGTCCTGAGGGTTGAAAGTTTTAAGTACTTTAATAATCGATATTATCTATTAATATGCTCAGTTTAAAAATTATTCATAATAATAGGATTTACCGGAAGATAATAAATTCTTTTAATTTTGAAAAATGTTGTTTTATTTCTTCCCGTAATATTTTGATCAAAATTAATAATTTAATAATTTTATGATGCTTAATTTAATAATTATAAATTATTAATTTTATAGTTTGGTATTCCAAATGGTAGAAGCTGAAGAAGAATATACGGATCAGATGGAAGTGCTCGTTAGTTGTTTTTTAAGGCCCTTTAAAATGGCCGCGAGTTCAAAGAAACCACCCTGCAGTCACGAGGATGTAAATAGTATTTTTTTAAACAGCGAGACAATATTATTTCTTCATCAGATATTTCTCAAAGGACTTACGTCACGTATGGAAAACTGGCCGACCCTTGTACTTGGTAGGTAATGCTTTATATGTATATTATAAAGTTGTTACTAAATTCTAACTACGTGACTTCCGTGACTTGTGAACTATAAATAAATCAAATTTTACCTTATTAAATAATAGATTTTGTTAAATTGCACTGTACTTTCTTAAATATTGACATTTATAAAGATATAAGCTCACTCTGACATTATACTTATTGAGACCTTTCATTTAAGTACCCACATCATTTTTTCATATATTTATATATATTACATATATATATATAAAAAATATATAAATATATGAAAAATTTATGTGGGTACTCAAATGGAAGCTCTTGATGAGTGTAATATTGGGATGAACTAATATCTTTAAAAATGTCAATATTTCACGAGATACAAGACCATTTCTTAATTATTGACATTTTTAAAGATATATAAGCTCATCTTGATGTTACTCTCATCAAGAGCTTACATTTGAGTACCCACATGGATTTTTGATATATTTTTCATATATACATATATGTAATATATATAAATATATAAAATATATGAAAAATTGATGTGGGTACTCAAATGAAAGGTCTTGATGAGTGTAACATCGGGATGAGCTTATATTTTAAAAATTTTTAATTTACATCACCATTTATATAATTTTTTTCCGAGTATATTATTGATAAAAATATTTAACATATCAACAGGTGATTTATTTGATATGCTACTTCCAATGCTTTCAATTTACCAAGAGTACGTCCGCAATCATCATTACAGCTTGCAAGTTTTAACAGAATGCAAACAATCGTCACCGTCATTTGCTGTGCTATTGACCCGGTTGGAAAATAAGTCAACCTGTCGTGGTAGATCTCTAGAAACTTTTCTTACCTATCCAATGCACCAGGTAATTACATTCAAGTATTTTTAGAGTATATGTTTATTTTTTTGCTTCGTCCGTAATTAAAATACTTGAAATAATTCCTTTTTCAGATTCCACGATACATCATTACTTTACACGAAGTGCTGGCTCATACACCTCACGATCATGTAGAAAGAAAGAGTCTCGAAAACGCTCGACAGCAGTTGGAAGATTTATCGAGACAAATGCATGATGAAGTATGAATATTGAGTATAATATGATAATAACTAGTTACTAGCAACCTTGCAGTCACTTTAAAAAATTAAAATTTTGTTTTCAGGTCAGTGAAACAGAAAACTTGAGAAAAAATTTAGCGATTGAACGAATGATCGCTGAAGGATGTGATATACTTTTAGATGTAAATCAAGTCTTCGTGCGGCAAGGTAAACTAATAATTATAATTTTAAGAAAACGAAAGATTTTTACGCATGCGCATCTGTTTAATTCCGCTGGGCGCTAACACATGTTGATGCTACACACAAATAAATCGATAAATTTTATAATAAAAGCTCTTAATTTATTTGATCGTGCGCGCGCAATTTGTTTAATAGACGTGTATATTCTTCACACTATTTTTTGTATTTTCATCGGCTCTTTTTCTATAAATTCTTCACAAAGTAAATGTCAATTTAAATTAATAGTTGTTCTACAAACTTTACCTTCATTAAATAGTTTTATTTTATTTCACAATTTAATTTTTAATTAGCGCGAAATAGTGAGTATGTGTCACCACGTGTTGAAATTTTGAAAATTTGACAGGGACATTAGTTCAAATTTTGGACAAATCTCGTGGAAACAGTGGAAGCACAGGAGGATTGTTATGGAGCAAAACAAGCGCGATAACATTTGGACGAAAGAAAAGTAGTAATCATAACGGAGCATTGAGACAGTGTTTTTTATTTTCGAATCATTTAATTCTTACGATAAGACAACAGTCTGATGGAGACGATTTGGGTCGATTAACTATTGTACCTGGTATTGGTAAAATTCCACTGAGCGATGCGATACTCATAGAGGATCCTAGTGAGCAAGCTGCTTCCTCAGCAGCTGCGGCTATTGATGACGATGGTAATTTATCATTAATTATATTTTCAAATTAAAAATCCTTTTTTTTTTCTATTTTTATCCAATTATTTTTGTAAAGTAAAAATTATCAAAAATTAAAATAAAAATTTTTTTTAAGAATTTTAAGAGGGCTTAGACGGTAATAATTATAAAAATTAATTAAAAGATAGAGGTAAGGTAAAAGACCCAGTTATTGACACTTGTAATTTTATTTTAATTAAAATTTAATTTATTTTATTGGAATAAAATTGAAAGTGTCAAAATGAAACAAAAAATAATATTTATTTTTGTTTATTTAACCTCTGTCATTAAATACAGGGGATTTGATTTACTTTTGCGGCCAACTTTAAATACCATGGGTTCACTTTATCATTTGATTATTGATTATTACTCAGCGGTTATCCTAAAAGTAATGAATATTATTTTTTTTAATTCTCTTAAACTACTTTCTTTCAAGTATAAGGGTTTTATAAGTTTTTTATTGTTATTTACTAAATAGATGCAAAAAATAAGAAATTTTGGTTTTTTATTTCAAAAATAAGAAAATGAGATAAGATATAAAGTTGATAATTTATTTTTTATTTCATAGAAATATCAGTTTGTTCATTATCAAGTGGCTCAACAGCATCAGCAGTATTCAGTGAAAGTAGTAGTATTTTTTATGGCGGTAGTAGTAGCAGCACCAGTGGAAGCAGTTCTTCCTTTGGGAATCGTGATTTTAAAATAATGTTAGATACTAAATCAGGGGGTCCATTAATAGCAATTCATCTCCTAGCTTCAACAATGCAGGTATTTATCCAACTGATTTTAAATAATAAGATCTAAGAGATATTTTTATTGACAGATTAAAATTTTTTCTTATTAATTTTTTTAAGGAGAAAAATATATTATATATTTGCTAATTTTATTTTAATACATTGTAATGATATTAAAAATTTACATTTAATTAACAAATTTTTATGTTAATTAATATTTAAGAACATTTACTGTAAAATATAAACAAACAATGGTTATTTTCACCCTGATAAAAAGATTCGATGACATTTAATATTTAATAAGCCTTATTAACCTTTATTAAATAATTTTTTTTTTTAATTAGCAATTTTATATAAAATTCCATTAAATATTCCACCTCGTTAATTATATATCTAAGAAACTTCCATAAAATCTGCAATTTACATTTAAAGTATAATAAAAATTAAGGACCCTTAATAAAATGTTTAATTTTTTTTTCTTGGTAGTAAAAATTACAATTTTATATTACATTTTAATGAAAGTGTCTTTAAATAATTACCAACTTAAAAAAACTCTTAACTAATCCTTATTACCCTCGTTTACTTTATTTAGCATTCATAAAATAATAAATAATAATATTTATTGTAAAACAGGAAAAAGCTGCATGGATAAGTGATATAAGTCAATGTATGGACAACATACACTTTAATAATTTACTCGGTCATTCAATAAACGGCGGCTTGGGATCTTTGTCTTCGTCCTCATCAGATACGAGTTCCGCAGTGATAATGCCGCATTCAATTAAGAATGACCCAAAATTGTTCAATGACGACGTAGATATTAGATTTAGCCAAACGTTGAATTCATGTAAACTTCCTCAAATACGTTATGCGACGCCCGAAAAACTATTGCAACGACTGACTGATTTAAGATTTCTCAGTATTGATTTTTTAAATACATTTTTATTAACATATCGTGTTTTTACTGACAGCGTTACTGTGTTGGAAGCACTAAAGAGAGTTTTTTATAACTCCGAGCATCCGCCGTATTCTCTCAGCACCCCTGACCAAGTGTCTTCTTGTCATTACTATAAAAAAATAGACGAAGAAACAGCTGATAACAGTACTTCTGTTTCGCTTGACAAAATATCCTCCGTAAGTACCGATAAAAATCAAGTAGCTTCAGTTCACCAACCCGGCGGCTCAGTAACTGAAGATCACAAACAAAGCAACAATGCTCTGAGAAGAATTAGCGGAGCTAGTTCTGTTTCCGGTTACGAGTCCTCTGAAGTGAGCGATTCACGTGATCAAGTGTTAGTACGCTGTAATAATTGTTCCTGTCGTCATGAACCGACTTTATTGCTTCCTAAGTCTGCGTCTACATCAACAGCAACGTTGACAATCAATAATAAAGTATCAAGTACCAACGATTGCTGTTGCGAGGGTAATTTTCATTGCAAGGAAGCTTCCAGTCAGATAAACAACCAAACAGATAAAAATGATGGTTCTTCGATTAGATTTAAAAGTACTGGCGGAAATTCTGGACAATCTTTAGAAGATAATCAACAGCAATCATCAACTGCCAATAATTTAAATGTTAAGGTAGACAATGATAGTGATCATGTCTTGTCGAGTTATCTTACTATACCGAAAGCTAACATGACGGGCTCGTCATCCAGTTCGGAAACTTTGACAGGTAATTGTAATGATAAGTATTTAGGCTGCATTTTCAAATGCTCTATTTTTAGATACTTAATTAAGAAATGACCTTGTATCTTGTGAACTGTTGATGTTTTCAAAGATATAAGCTCATCCCGATATTACACTCATCAAGACCTTTCATTTGAGTACCCACATCAATTTTTCATATATTTATATTTTCTATATATATATATATATATATATATATATATATATATAAAATTGATGTGGGTACTCAAATGAAAGCTCTTGATGAGTGTAACATCGAAATGAGTTTATATCTTTAAAAATATCAATAATTAAAAAATGACCTTGTATCTTGTGAACTATAAACATTTTTGAAGATATAAGCTCATCCTGATGTTACACTCATCGAGACCTGTCATTTGAGTACCCACGTCAATTTTTCATATATTTTATATATTTATATATAAGTATATATGAAAAATATATAAAAATGTATGTGGGTACTCAAATGAAAGCTCTCGATGAGTGTAACATCGGGATGAGCTTGTATCTTTAAAAACGTCAATATTTAAGAAAGTACAGTGCAATTTAACAAAATTCATTATTTAATAAAGCAAAATTTCATTTATTTATAGTTCAATTAAATTTAGTTATATATTAATTGTTATTTTTATTTTATAACAATGAAGATATGATGGTGAATAATACTCCACCTTCAGCTCCTTCGTCACCGAGTAACAAGAGTTCTATTACTTTAATCGACTCAACTGGTTGCGGGAATGCTGGAGATAGTAATGAACTGTCAAAGGATTTTTTCTCAGCAATAGACAGCGAAGAAACTAATCAGAATTCTTATCCGATGAGAGAACAAAAGGAAAGAGTTGATACGGAGAAGAAATTTTCTAGTAATGGTTAGTTGTACTTTTATTCTTTCAAATTTTATATTATGTTATATTCTTATAAATGTATATTATTCATATTCACAGACTCGCATTCAAATTCCCCAAAAACAAATAACCAAAGATCAAAATTTGTCAGTACTGTTAATACAGACGCGCTCCCGGGTCTTCATAAAAAATCCGACTCTGACAGAAATGAATCATGGACTGTCAATGCTACGTCAGATGATGACAGTTCATTATCATCCCCATTAAACCAGGCTCACAACCGACGTTACCTTGAGCAGCAACAGCAACAGCAACATCGAGCATCTGTTGTTTCAGCACCTCCGATTGCTACCTATGATAGCAGACGTAGTTGTGGTTCTATATCAAATATTGTAGGGGTAAGATTCTTTATCAAGTGCTATTATAAATATTCATTCAAGAAGAAATGTCTTTGCTCAGGAAATTAGTTTTATTTTTATTTCTTCTTCACTGAGAAAATTTATTTCTTAATTGAATTTTTTTTACTAGTATAAATTATTATTATGTTGCAATAAAATAATTTCAGAACTATTGGACCGGTAGAAGATCATTCCAAGAAGGTACTGGAAGTAATCGGGACAAAAATTCGCGACAATCATATGCATCATATCAATCTTCTACGCATTTTTATCATGATATACCTACTCAAGGGTCAAGAAAAGCTGGCGTTGTCATCACTAGTTCTCGGCAGAGTCATAGAAGGTATTTTTACAATTATTTTGCGCTTACACTGTTAAAAAATAAAAAATACACTCAATTTTTTCTATTTTTATCAATTTATTTTTAAACTAAATTAAAATTACAACTTCAAGCTTATAATTAAAAAGTTATCTCCCAATTTAGGAGTAGTACATCAACAGCAGCAGCAGCATTCGCAATAGCGACATCAGCATCGAGTAACCCCCCAGACATAATTAATACCAAATCCTCGGAATATTCAAATGATACTGGGAATAGCAAATTGCACCGCGATACCGCGTCAATTATCAGCGATCGAAACAGACGCAAAGAGCCAATATCTACTGCAGCAACCATGCGAGTTCTAAACGTATTAAGACACTGGGTATCTAAACACGCTCAGGACTTTGAGCTGAACGCTGAATTGAAGCATCTAACCATCGAATTCCTCGAAGACATTGTCGAGAATCCGAATTTGTTGCCGGCGGAGCACAAAGCTGCTAATCAATTGATGCGGCTGTTGAACAAAGGGGAACCTGAGGGTAGTAAAACTGATTTGGTGCGTTTGCTATCTCCGCCTTCCCCATCACGCACCATTCAAACTAAGGAAAATATTGAGACTTTGTCGGCTCTTGAAATTGCTGAACAAATGACTTATTTGGATCATAAAATCTTTATTAATATTTTGAGCGAGTAAGTGTTAGTTATTGTGTTTAACCCTATTGAAAATAATAATAATAATTTAATTTTTCAGAGAATTCCTTGGACAAGCGTGGATGAAAGCAGATAAAACTGTTCGCGCACCTCATATAATATTGATGACCAAAAGATTTAATGAAGTATCACAATTAGTTGTGTCGGAAATAATTCGAAGAACTAATTTGTCTGCTAGAGTCACGGCCATTGAAAAATGGGCTGCGGTTGCTGATATTTGCCGGGTTTTGCATAATTACAACGGTGTGTTACAAATTTGCGCTGCTTTTACAAACAGCAGTGTTTATAGATTGAAGAAAACTTGGGAAAAAGTTTCTAAAACGGTTAGTTGAATTTTTTAAAAGAAATTTTACCTGAGATTAATAATCAGAGGCACGATAATTCTAAAAAAATTGATATTATTGTTTCTAGATTATTTTTTTATACTGTCGGAAGATGTTAGTGTGTAAAATAATTTAAAGTAATTGTTTTTTTCTAGACAAAGCAGACAATTGAAAGATTACAAAGTATTGTTTCATCTGATGGGCGCTTCAGAAATTTGAGAGATACATTACACCGTTGTGATCCTCCGTGTATTCCTTATTTAGGATTATATTTAACAGACTTGTCATTTATTGAGGAAGGCACTCCGAATTTTACAGATGATGGGCTTCTTAATTTTGCAAAAATGAGGATGGTAAGTATTTTTTAAACATTATTTTAAACTATTGAAAAAATTTATAACAAAGAATAAAAAATGAATTTTTATCTAAATAAATTTGTCATAAGAGAAAAGTTATTTTTAAAAAGTTATAAATTTTGAAGCTGTGACAATAACTGAGTAATGCAGTTTGGTTATTGTTTAGTAATAAAACTTAATTCTCAGTTTTGTATTAATCACAGAACTATATATATATATATATATATATATATATATATATATATATATATATATATATATATAATTGACTAATGTGGTGAACTCGGAAACTATGTCAAATTAGTGAGGAATGGAATTTTAATTGACAATTTGAAATTGCATAACTTTGAAATTGGAGTTTCATTTTCTCAACATTCGTTAATCTATTTTATTTCTTATCAAATTCCAATTCGCATAGTCAATAAATTTCGATATAAAGGAGACACATTTTATTATTTATAATTTAAATTACTTTTAATTGAATATTGGTCATACATTATAAATAATTGTGTTTCATACATTGATTGATATATAATTCAATTTAATAGTAATTCAAGTTTAAATTTATGTGCATGCTATAGCAGTAATTTCGTCATTTTTTTTTTGAAATTCTATACTAGCAAATCAGAATATTGCCTTTATTCATATGATATTTTTATCAAGTTAAAAAGTCATTAAAAATAAATTTTAGTAATATTTAAAATTTATTTTTTATCCTCAATTTTGGTCGCGTCACAGGAAATTACTGCAATGTTAATTTTTTTGGAGTATTGCCAAGTATATTATGTGTACCTGGAAAATTTTATTAGTCAATCAAAAACCGCATTTTATTATGCAAATAAAACCTAGCGAGCTTATAGAGAATGAGCTCTCAGTTGATTACCGTCATATTTTTTATTTCCGCACAAATAATAAAAAATTTTAAACCAGTAAATTTCGAACTTCAAGAGAAGAAATGTCTTTAATAAAAAAAAAATACATCATATCTGTTTATTGGTTTTTTTTAAAGGAACGTATTTGCAAAAATATCTTCTAAAAAAACTTGATACCAATCTCAAACACAGATTGTGACTTAATATTCTATATCGACGTTCTAATTAGCAAATTGTCTAACTCCATTTTAGAGAATCTTCCATTTATACGAAAAAACAATTAGTTCAAAATTTATTATCACTTTAAAAAACCATTTAATGTCATTAATATGTAAAAGAGGTATAATATTTTTTTTTGGATCATTCAAATAATTTATAATTGAGGAGCTTTAAAGAGAATTATAAAGATTTATAAATGAAAATCGAATTACAGCTTCATAACCGATATCACTCTATAGCTAAATTAAAAAAAGTTCAATACAAATATTTATAATTGAAGATAGCCAGTTTTTTGTCTCGATTAATAAAAAATGAAAAGATTCTTTTGAAACTCAGCTTCTCAATTGGACTATTGCTATACATAAAAATGTTAAAAAATGACCCTCTAAAAAATAAGGAGTTAGACCAATTGCTAATTAGACCGTCTATATAATTAATAAAATTTCTTTTAAGGTAGTACAGTAGGTTAGACAGTTACTGTTCGGAATTTAATTAAATTAGGCATATTGGTAGATTCTTGTCGAGTAATGAACCACCTTAAATTTTCAAAGGGTTACAGTTTATCTAAGACTGTAATTTTTCCTTTTATTATTTTTTCCGTGTTGTGAAAAAATCAATTTGTTGGAAAATTTTACTTCTTATCACAACATTGCTCATTTTTTTTTAAATAAATTTTTTTCCTCAGTGTAATCAAGATAATTTTTTCTGTCAGTACAGAAAATAATGACATAATTTAATAATGCAATAATTATTGTATGATCGGTAAAATTTATAGATCGCCCATGTGATCCGTGAAATTCGACATTTTCAACAGACGCCCTACAAAATAGAGCTGATAACAAAAGTAACAAATTATTTACTCGACACGACATTACTTCTTGAAGAAGATGATCTATATCGCATGTCCTTGGAAATAGAGCCGAGAACATCCCGACTCAGCAATGCAACTTTTATTAGTACCCCTTCTACTACCAGCGTTATTCACAACAATCAAACTTCAACAAAATAAATCAGATCATATATTATACATTATTTTTTACAATCTCTATAAATATAAATATAAAAAAAATAATAATATGCAATCTTGAAAGTACAATAATTTATAAGAATTTGCCTACTATACAAGCTTTCAAACACTCGTTTCCATATCTTCTGTTATATTATTATTATATATAGATATTTATCCTATATGTAACGTGTAATTGTCAATTGTCAATTGTCATTATTTACTTCTTTGTTACACGCAATCATAATCGTACAGACTAACAGACATTATCTGTGATTTTTAACATATTTTAGCTTTAAAGTTTTATGTATAATTGTTGACGATAAATCTTTAATAACAAAAGTTATCATTATACTATTAAATATACTAATACTATTATTAATTATTGATTATTAAATTATTATATAACAAAAGTTAAACTGCAGCATGAAATTTTTAAAAAATACAGAGATTCTTAATCTTTAAAATTCATCCATCATTTCGATCAAGTTTTTAAATACTCACATTATTAGACTGTGTTGTTTGTGACTGATAGCGCTGTTGAAAAATTTTATAAAATTTTAAGCGCATTGTTACATATGATCCCTTGTTATTAGAGATCAGTTATGTAAATTAAAAAATTGTATCTTTGGACGTTCTAAAAATGTTTAGAGGCAGAGAAGAAATTTAACTTGAATCAAAAAAATAATTTTTTTTTTAATTAACAAATAAATAAAATTTTGCTTTATTAAATAATGACTTGTTAAATTGTACTGTACTTTCTTAAATATTGATGTTTTTAAAGATATAAACTCATACTGATGTTATACTCATCAAGAACTTTCATTTGAGTACCCACATGCATTTTCATATATTTTTCATACATTCATATATATATATATATATATATATAAATATATGAAAAATTGATGTGGGTACTCAAATGAAAGGTCTTGATGAGTGTAATGTCGGAATGGGCTTATATCTTTAAAAATGTCAATAGTTCACGAAATACAAGGTCATTTCTTAATTATTGATATTTTTTAAGATATAAGCTCATCCCGACATTACACTCATCGAGAGCTTTCATTTGAGTACCCACATGCATTTTTACATATATTTATATATAATATATACTACATATATATAATATATATAAATATATAAAATATATGAAAAATTGATGTGGGTACTTAAATGAAAGGTCTTGACGAGTGTAATGTCGGGATGCACTTATATCTTTAAAAATGTCAATAGTTCACGAGATACAAGGTCTTTTCTTAATCTTTTCTTAATTATGTACCTAGAGATAGAGCATTTCCTCTTGAAACTTTGAAAAGGCATAATTTAACCATAAAAATTAATTTTATCATATAAACAGGCCACAAAATTTTGCTTATTCTCTTAATAATATAGATTATTGACTATCGTTCAAAAAATAAAAAAAAAAATACTTAAAAAGTTCTCTATTTTTTGGTACTTTACGAGGTTCTCTTTAAGTAATTTTTTATTTATATCACGATAGAATTACCCGGGTCTAAAGTTTTCACATTACGTAGAAAAGTATAAGTAACTTGATTATAGAAGATCGCATCGTACAAAAAATGGCCTCTGGGGAAAATCAATAGAATTCAAAATTTAAAAAGTTTCCGAGACTAAAACAATAATTTTGAAGTTAGAAAAACATTTTTTAAAAAAAGTGCTTTTGAATTTTTGTTAAAATTCAAAAATTTAAAGAATCTTTTATACTGTAAACTCGTTACAAAATCAATTGCTGCAACACAGTCTAATTTTATTATAAATAACCGTGTGATATAATAGCTTAAAAATTTTTTAACAAATTTACTTCAAGAAAGTCAATTTAAATATTATTTTTTTCAATTAATTTAATTTTTTTACTTTTTAAGAATAAAAATTTTTCAATTGGAAATTAAGATAAGAAATTTTCAAAATTAATTTAAAGATGTTCAAAATAAAATTATTAATTATATTTTTTTATTAAAAGCTTTTTCTCACACGGATAAAATTTTTTTAAACAAATAATTATACATTGCTCAAACGATTCTATGTATATATTTTTATCGATTGACAATCAAAGTTAACTTTGAAACAAATATAAATAGCTATAGCTGAAAGAATTTTAAATAAAAAAAAATATATATATATATATATATATATATATATATATATATATATAAAAGTAAAAAAATAATTATTCCTTTTAAAAAAAACTGTTGATGCATTATATAAATTTATATTATCTGTTGATCTTGATAAAAATAAATATCTATTAAATACATATTATTCGCCTGTATATACATAAAAAAAAAGTTCTATTTAAATATCAAAATGATGCCATTAATCATTAAAAAATCTATTAAACGATGTTTATAAAATAATAATCAAATTGTTTGAATGTTTAGATTGCAAGTACTGTATTAAAGTTACCGGGAGTAATTATAACTATTCTTATTATGATTATTTCAATGATAAAAAATTAAAAAAATCAAGATTGTAAGCTGCCATATATGTGTATAAATATTCAAGAGTTATTTCTTTATCCAAATAATGTATCACTAATTTATACAATATAAAAAAAAACAATAATTTATTTTTGCTATTGCATAACTTTTCTATTATATTATTTTTTATAATCAATACGTTATTAAAATGTGTAGGATACTTTACGTGCGTATGTCTTTATTAAAATTATTAAGGATAATTTAATAACAAAGCTAAAAAGTGTGTGTGTGTGTGTATTATAATTAGTTGTATGGTTATTATTATAAATTAATTTCATCGTTAATATTTTTACTGCGTATTTGCATAATGAAATATTAATTAGGAGGATCGTCCCATTGTTGAGTTACAAATATGCTCGGTGAATATTTTTAACTTCAACACAAAAAGTAAATATTTTAATTAAATACCGAAAAATAAAGAGTTGTGATCATTATTGCATTGTGATTAAATTGAAATATACTCATAGGATAGTTCAATTATTATTTAACTACATCAAGCTGTGTTTACTCAATTTTATTAGTAATTAAATTGTATTATTAAAATTTTTCAGTTGTTTAATGTCCACTTGTTCAGTACATCGGAAAAAGTCTAAAAATTTTGCGGTATTTACTTTCAGGTTGTAGTGTAATTTTAAATATCTGCATTGAAGAAATTATTTTTAAAATTAATGATTGCAGTCATTTTTAAGGCTGACAATATTGTCAGGAATTATTAGCTGAGATATTTTTTTTTTTCATTTAAGAGACGCATTTTATTGATACTTGAATGACATTTCCTGTGACGGTTGCAGAGATAGATAGAACAGAAGTTGACAGTTGTCAGCGAAACCTCGACCGAGTTATTTCAAAAGATAAAATAAAATTAATAACTATAATTTATGAGCGTAGTCACCGGCAAGGATAAACAAAAAATAGTGTCAGTTTAATAACGAGTTTCAAAATAAAGTCATTCAAATCAATTGAGCTTTTCGTAGATTTTTCGTACCACCTAACGGGACAACTGACTAAATAGTAACGTGTGTAATGCACAAGTCAGTCTAAGAACAAGTTAAATGTTTTTAAAATTTCGTAGATCGGTTAATAATTAAATGAATCCAAATGGTGACAATGCCAAGAGAGCCGTCAGATGTCTAATTAAATCTATAGCTTGAGTAATTTCTGACCGCGCACTAGCTTAATTATTGTTTCAATACTGCTGGAGAAAACTATATTAATAAAAAAACTCATAGACGTAATCATGTTAAATAAAAACATTGTAACCGCGGCTTTTTTACCGATGCCTTCGCTGCCGGCTGACCAACTTCTACTTTTTCCACTTTATTCATCAAATATTTATAAATTTCCACTCTTCTACGATTAAATCCAGATACAATTATTCTCTCCGACCAATATAAAGATCCTCTTTAAAAATAAATTTAATATTTATTTCGCAAATGACATTAATATCAACTGAATTATTAAATCAGAGCAAATTTATTTCGGAGCTGTCTCTTGACTCATATCACTTAATTTATCTATTAAAATAAAATAATTTCTGATAACTAAATTTACCATAAATATGATATTAATTATCGAGTCACTTACAGGTTGAATTTTATTTATAATTACCTCTAAATGTGTATTATTACGAGTTGTGGGTGTGTATGCATGTCGATAAAGTGAATGAATATTTATTACATAAAACACGCACGAAACGATGTTAAGCAAATCCGTTAAATCGTCGGGGATGAAATAGTTAAATAATTATTCGTTGCACATTTAACGATTTAAAAATATGTTATCAAATATATAAATAAAATAGGTGGAATTATAAATAAATTATACCTCTGAAATATCTCTATTTAAATAGTTCGCCATTTAAAATCTATATGCGTGGCTGAACACAAAACATTAAACGTCAATTTAAATAAAATCACATGTGCATTGTAATTATAAATTATTATTATTGTTAATTAATAAACACAGAAAGTTTAAGTAATATTTTGAAATATACTCAATTTATTTTACATTTATTTCAATGAGCGGTAGAACAATCGTTCTTTTTTTTTTTTATTTCAAATAAATAAAAACTTTTAATGAATAATATTTATTTTTTTCATTTATTCATATCAATTTATTATTATTCATTTTTTATACTATTATTTTAAAAAAATTGTAAATCTTATTAATAATAATATTGTTAAAACATTGTAATTAATATAAAAAATCTATAAAAAAAATTATTGTTCTTTTTTACTTACCTTTATTTATAATAAAAATTAAAAAAACATACTAAGGTTTATTTAAAAAATATTTTTAATTATTTAATTAGAATAAAAAATAAAAATTTTTACAAAAAAAATTAGAAAGAAAATAAAATTATTTTAGGTAAGACTTAAATTTAATTTTTCTTATTTGAAATTTTTATTTATTGATAAAAATATTTTGAAATAAAAATGAAAATTTTAATTACTTTTAAGAATAAAAATAAAAATTAACTGTAATCATGATTACAAATTAATT